ATTGTCATTGAGATCAGTGCGTAAAGCCCTTTGATAAAAGTGTTTTTACAAGTACCGCCAACCATTGTTGTGGAAATGCGCAAGACACGTGCCACGAGCGGGTGCTCCGCCGCCATTCGCTTCCAAGGGCCGCTCATTTCAGTGCTGCGCCGCCATTTGCTTCCAAGGGCCGCTGGAGACCTGGGCCACGTGCATTTGGCGCTACTTGCAAAGACAAACGAAAACCTATCGAGGGGCTTTATTCAGACGCTGCTCCCTATGCCATCTATCAATACGAACGGCAAACACAGCACGCTACTGGACTTGGTCGTCTATGTCACCGCCCGCCGTAGACCCTGGCAAGTTTCTTGACCCTATATTTTACTAAAAGAGAACTACGCTCTGTAATTTTACAAGAAAAAACCGACCTGTGAAATACACCTTTGACGAAAAGTTTAGATTGCTACGCGCAAGCGTCGATTTTTACGGTCCATTTTAGATCGAGCCTGGTGACCTGAACCACCCTATAGTTCAGCCAGTTCAGGCGAATCGAACAGACCTAAATTGACTGATCCGATTTGGGCGAGGAGTGGGTGGACGTAGTTTAATATCGTTGGTACAGCATCATACCTCAGCTTACAAGCCTTCTGTCCGCTGAGAGCTCAGCTGGTAGCTTTCTTCTGTCAGATGATTGCTGCATAAGCAGGATCTCGATCTGGACGGGAACCCAGTCCCTACGCACGACGGCGATCCACTTTGCTCGTCACTGCACGTCTCGCGGAAAAGTGTGGAACGTCATCTTGGCTCGCATGTGCTGCCCGGTGGTTGTGGCACACAACCGCGCAACAAAAATCTCACCCAGCCACGAAACAAGTCGCGCACAACAACATAAACGAAGCACGCTGAGGCGTTCACTCGCAGGCAAACAACGAGACAAAAATGCTCGATTTGTGTTTTGTGACGTCAGAGCTTCAATGTTGCCAACGAAAGCAGCGTTTACACTAGAATGCGATTGGAGCAGTATAAATTCAATTACTCACGCAGAGGGGCATATAAAATTCGGATATTGCACGTACGATGCTTCTCGAGGCAATAACAATAATATTCAATTGTTTTCTCGAATAAAAAAATTTGACCGGACAATCCCTTTAAAGGGCAACTCCGCTCGATTCCGAAGAATTCGGGATAATGATTGATTTAGAATTAAAAAGCCCAGTAAAACACACTACGTCGTTTGCTTCGCGAAAAATGGGATATATATTTTTAAATCTGATTTTAAACACGAGCGGAAATCGAAACCGAAACTTCGGCTCCGCCCGGCAACATTGGCCTCGGGTCGCCAAGTACATGGCCATCACGTGGTACGAGATGTCACGTGATCCTCAACCCAACGACGGGCGGGATTGGGGCGGGCGTGTGGCAGGCGCGAGTGTCGTCTGCACCGCACTCTTCGCCACGTTTTGGTGTCTACGGCATTCGACGACGTCTGCACAACGGCGGCATAAGTGTGCGCGCACGTGGTGTCCGTAGTGTGGACGAAACTCCGAGAGACAATAATCACAATCGGTGAGACGACGACGGCGGTAACGGAGGGACCACGGCGGGCGGCCGGACGGCTCCAAAGAAATGCGCTGCGCAGGCGCGTTCCGCTAATCACGTGGACACTGCTGAGCGCCGAGAGGCAACGTTGCTGACGTCATGCGCTACGCTCGCCCGGAGAAGTGAAAACAAGCAAAAGGGGGCCATGTAGATGGCGTTTAGCTCAATGTTGGCTTCGCCCATGCCGTAGCCTTGACTGCGCTGTTGGTTGCGCCTGAATTCGCCCGCTCAAGTCAGCCGATTTCGGCAACTTGGCGAGTTACAAAGTTTGCCGGACCGTTTAAGAAACATGTAGACAGAACTGCGTCGTAAGATTTCACGTGTGGTCTTCCTAGTAGTGGTGCAAAACTATCGATAGTACTATCGATAGTCGACTATCGATAGTAGACTATCGAAAAACTATCGATAGTCGACTATCGTAAACCTATCAATAGTACTGTCGACAGTTTACTATGGATAGGTTTGCGTCGCTCCCTCTTGTCTATTTATCGCTTTAATTTTTTTTTCAAACGGGGCGACAACTAGCCTAGGCACTTACCATCCCAACTTTGGTTCAGCTTTCAGTGATGACGAAGATGGGGGTTTGGGCGAAAAAAGAAGAAGGGGGAGACGAGCGGTAGGGCGAGGGCAAGACGGGCCGTGGAGGAGGAAGCAGACGAACCGCTGGAGAAGAGAGGGGGAAACCTCCTTCTCTCTTTAGCGTTCCGTCTGCTTCCTCTTCCCCGGCCCATCTTACCCTCGCCCTACCTTCTTGAGTTGTAATCGATAGCACTAGCGATAGTATCGTTAGTCGCCAGTATAGTAAAAAACCATCGATAGTCGACTATCGATAGTATTATCGATAGTCGACTATCGAAAAACTATCGATAGTCGACTATTGAAAAACTATTGATAGTACTATCGATAGTCGACTATCGATAGTTCTGGGACACTATCGATAGTTTTGAAAAAACTATCGATAGTATCGATAGTTTTGCATCACTACTTCCTAGGCGATACTGAAGAAGACTGCATTGTTTTTTCAAAACCAAAAATGAAGCGGAGTCGCCCTTTAAAGGAACCATGAAGGCAATTTAATTTTTTTTTTTTTTAAAAGAAGGTGATTTTGGAAGCATTGGGGTGCTGGCATGCCACACAATTTTTTCTGGAACGTTGTGACACTTATTTCGGTACCTGCAAATAAATTTGCGAAACCGAAACAAACATTCAGATTTCTTCCCTTTTTCGCCTCTGGAAAGAGAAGTGACGTCAGGGAGCGCTGTCGGCATCGGTAGGATTTAGTCAACGTTACTAAAACACTTAGTTGGGAAACTCCCATAGAGACAGCCCTAAAAATATGGCGAACGACTAATGACGAACACAACGCCACCATTTCTCCCGCAGCGGCCACTCGAGAAACTGCACGTGACTTCTATTTTTGGCTCTGACAGGGGTGAACCCCTGCCTCCGCGGCGGACGCGCCGCGTTGAACTAGCGAAGTTAAAATGCACCTAGGTCGGGACGCGCTACCTGAAAGGCCCGCTGAGGCATGGTTTTATAAAAACAATATTAATTGTTCCGCAAAACCTTGCAAACTAAAGATGATAAAAACATCACGCGCCCATCATTTGGTGCTAAACTCCAATAAATTTAATGCAAAAAGAGTCTTTTCCGTTTGTTTTTACGCAAAAAATAGGCTTTCAAAAAGCTCAAGGTGACCATAGTACAAACAAATGAAAAAGAGTGGCGCTGTTGTCGCATTTAGCTCGGTCTCGGTGGACGCCAGCGGCCCAGGTTTCGACGGCGAGTTTCCCAACTGAGTGTTTTAGTAACGTTGGATTTAGTGGACGACAACGCCGCGCTCGCAAACGAATTTGAGCTCCAGTTCAGCGACCTCACGCCGACTGAACGGGAGATGCTGCTAAGGACGCAGAACTCTGGAATGGCGACCGATGCAGCAATGCGCAGCACTGCTGCATCGGTCGGCAGTTTATGCAAACTAACGTCGCCCAAACGACCGCACGTCTTTAGCCGACCTTTCGCGCAACCTACTACCACTACTACTGCACATAAACGCGCACGAAACCGAAACCCAAACCAGAAGTCCGCCGCCCCCGGCGCTCGTACCTTTTTCTTTTTTTTTTTGTCCCTGGTTGCTCGATGCTTGTTACGCGCCCGAGGTAGCAGTGCGGAATGCGTTCAACCAGTGACAAACGGAGGGATCGCTTCAGATTATGCTTTTATACATGGTATGAAACCTATTAATTCCAAACTACAACTTCAAAAGATTATCCAACGTTCAAATAAACTTTTTTCATCACATCTCACCATCGAAATCGAAACCAAGAGGGCGTCTATCGTTTGAACCAATCGCCAGACGAGAAGCCCGTTGTCGTCACGCTTCGACGGCGCACTTGGTCAACAGCACTGTCAACAGTATCTGAGACGTGCCTGACATCCATTTCAATCGTCGAATAAAACTTCGAAACTGCCTTCATGGTCCCTTTAAAGGACACATGCAAAGGAAAAAAACATTTTTTTTAAACGGCTTAGATGGAAAAAGGACGCCATAAAACGATTTTACAACGAAGAAAAAAAAATTTTAGAGCTATATTTACGGCGCAAAACGAATTTGTAGTTGGCGCCCGCGGGCACCGCGGAAAAGTGGTCTGTATTTATCACGTGACTGGTCTTTATTTATCACGTGGTGCTTGCGTTCTTTCGGAAGCTTCCTATGGCCTCTAAAAGTAACTTATTCATCTTTGTTTGAAGTATAACAAAAAACTAAGATGAATAAGTATCTTTTAAAGCCCAAAAGAAACTCCTGAAAAAGCGCAAGCAGGCGTGATAGACCTGTGCGCCGGCCAGACGACGGCGGCGGCGCCCCGAAGCAGACGAACTTGTGCGGCGGCGGCGACGGCGGCGTGGAGAAACGCGTTGAAGCGGCGTTCGCAGAACGCTCAGCGTGCGGCGGCGACGCAGCGCGGCGGCGCGCGGGCCTACCACGTGACCAGCGGCGGCTCCCGCGAGCGCCAACTACAAATTCGTATAGCGCCGTAAATATAGCTCTAAAAATTTTTTTTCTTCGTTGTAAAATCGTTTTATGACATCCTTTTTCCATCTAAGCTGTCTAAAAAAAATGTTTTTTTCCTTTGCATGTGTCCTTTAAGAGAGCATGCCATGCCCCCTTTCCGAGTATGCCGCACGCCCTGGCCGTGTTCCAAAATTTACTCGATCTTACTCCAGGGTAAGGGTTTTGTACCCTTGGCGTTCTGAAACCTACCCGCGCCCAGCGTTTTTCAATCTGTGCTGTCACGTGATACGATCCGCCGGAGTAACTCGGATCCATTTGGGTAAGATTTGGACGATTTGGACACGGTGTAAGTGTGGATTTGGAACACAGCCCCTAACTCTGCCCGCGCCTCCCATTGACCAAACTTTCTACATATACGGCTCTGGGCCGCATCAGTCAGTTAGGCGAAGCATCAGTCCATCCATCCATTCGTCCATTCATCCAAAATGGCCGGCATTGGCATGTTTGAAAGCTAAAGCAGCTGAAGGACGAAGCTTGGAGTTTTTAAAATACTAGACTGACGACGCAAATTGTGCCGACTCTAAACCCTTTACGGGAATCGTAAAGACCTTCTACTTTGTCGTGAACATCGAGCAGCTCAAGTAAGTTGCCACGTCCACTAGTGAAAACCGTTGTGTTCCCTTCAGTTTACCAACACTGCGTAGCGTAACAACGGAACACGTTGGGAAAAGCGCAGGCGCGTAGTTGCGATGTCTTTCTTTTTGGCGAGTGAGGTTTGATTGGGATCGCTTTAGAACGCTAGCGCCATGTCCAGGGCGCGAGCTTTGGCGTCGTAAGGATCGAACACTAAGCTTCGATTAGACTTGATTTGTAAGCTGACAGTTTGAAAAGGTATTTTTTCGCGATCTCTCGGAAACAGTACCTGCCTGATCTCCTTACCGCTTTCTAGAGTTTAACGTTGTTGAGTTATTATTCTTTAAGAGCTCGTACTGCGATCGTTGCAGGTTACGGCCTGACCCAGAAAATCATCGTTCATGATGCAGAACAAGATAGGTGAGTTGATAACGTGCGGCATTTGAATTCAAGTCCAAGTGGTGCGATCGCATGATTCAACTCTGAACCGCCTCCTTAACTGGAGGACATTTCCTCCCGTGTACAGTTCGGCACTGTTAAAAAAAAAAATATGTTTTGCAGTGGCGATGTTTAACGCTGCATTTACAATCGCTGCTTCCAGACAAAAAGAAGTTTGGATCGTGGCAGCCCCGATAAATGAAATTTGACTCTTGCAGCGGGACCATTGTCTGCAGCTCGTGTGTTGTCCCCACCTTCCCTCTCAGGTTCATTTGTGTCATGCCTTTACTGCATCCTTTTCATGCATCCAGTTCGACATGCAACCATGGTAACATACACACCATTCTAATCTTTACGAGTCCTCAGCCCCCATGTTCGTCACTTCGCAAAGCGAGCAAATCACGTGCCATACGTGCAAACACTGAAAATGAAACCAGCCAGGAGCCCTGTTTTGGAAAGGTCTCTCGAGTTGCAAGGATAGTTGTCCAAAGCACGGCGCTGCAGCTAATAGCTAGCCTATCGGCATCGTCAATTTGTGCAAGGGCAGCTGAACAGTGATGCATGCTTCCACCCACTCCTTTGGCCATAATCGGATGCTCTACAAAAAAGTACCCATGGCTCGGTTGTCACTTCACCTCGTCCGTGCTCGGGAAATTGTTTTGCAGCGAAGGACGTGAAAGGTGCACAGTGAGAAACTACCGTCCACTTTATCACTATTGCACACTTTTTAAGCCAAGCTGCAGCTCACTCGGTCTACTAGGCCCATATAGACCCAGGAAAATACTGTTAACATCGATTGTTTCGAGCTGTCGAAGCACATTATGCACTACTAAAAGATAGTCCCAACAATGTTTACATCCGGTATTCTCTGTACCATGCCTATGACTTGTACACGCTGCTTTTTCTGCTCATTGCTCGCCAGACCTTTGTTGGTCTGGCGAGCAACGTGCAACCTGGCCATACGTTTCGGAGACAGTAAATGCACTCCTCTATTTCATCAAACAAAACTCCTCAAACGCTTTCGGAGCAAGAGAGCCAGAGAAATTTTCGAGGCAAAAACTAAAATAGAAAAAGGAGATACGTGCATTAGCACACCATCAATTTCACTGTCCGAGGAGGAGGTGAACTACCTCAACCTTTTTTCTTAATCTGGCTGCTTTCCTTTTGCTATTGCACTCCCTTTTCAATTTAATTTGGTTAATTTTTAAATATTTTTGAAACAATATTTTTTTTTGTGCAAGTGCATTTAGTATTTTAATTTTGTATTTTCCCTCTTATTTTCGTCCTCCTCTTATCATGCATTAAACAATCGGTTGATAGTGAGCGCTTGTCCTGTGTATATCTTTGTAATTCAGATTCTTGCTGGTTCTTGTCTGTGCTAGAGTCAGCGGGTCTTGGGAAGGTAGCTTGCTCAGATACTAACATACGGATGACCAAAACCTCCCAAGGCTGATCAGTTCATCCTCAGGGCACGAGGCATTGCAGACTGAACAATAGTAATAATAAGGAATAATGTATACAATACTGAAACAACAGGAAAGTGGTAATAGATGTGCAAAAAAGTTTGCGGTCATTAATAGACATTCCAGTCTTCAAGTTCTGGGAATAGAAGAGTCGTAACGTTAGAGGGGCAAAATGGGATTTTGTGACAATGATCAAGGCGTGCTGAAACAAACTACATGGGGGATTATTAGTTGCAAATTGAGCCGAAGAATGTGGTGATAGATTTTATGAAAAAGACAAGAAGGTGAAATTGTGCGAGGCTTAAGAGTAACAGGCTACTTTTCGTTGATGTTATAATTGGCCAGCACGAAGCGTGCAGCTTTGTTCTGAACACCTTCGAGTGAATCAATGAACTAACTGGCAGGGGGATCCCAGATGGAAGCTACATACTCTAGTTTGGACCTGACTGTAGCCATTTTCACCTCAAGGAAAAAGCAAGTTTTGCATATTGTTCATACGCAGCGCCAAGCAGTTCTTACTAGATTTGGTTGTCGGAAGAAAAAGCGATGCTTTTGGTGTCTGGAACTTATACGTCTTGATAAGATAAATTTAAAATTCACCTACATATATGTCTTAATTATCAACATGAAGGGAAAAGTTAGTAATGTTCCGCAAGGTGCCATACTTTACCGCAGTTATTGAGGTGAAAACGGGTAGAGTGTTTTATAAAGAACTACTTCAAAGGGGTCATGAAACGCTTTTCCAACTTTTCCCTCTTTAGCTTTCCTTTTCAACTCATAAATCGCGCATTCCACCAAACAGTTCAAGAAGACGAAAAAAGGGGAGGCCCCTCTTGCTCGGAATCTGGTTTACGTACCCGGACAGAGCCATTGTCCCCCTAGAAGATTAGCCCGTCGCTCAAAATTCAGACAAAAGTTGCTTTCCCCAACCCATTCACCCTGGAGCTGGCAGTGCTGTGGAAGCTACGTGCTCGTTGGGCCAGCCACACTTTTGCCACATGATCACGCTCCTCCGCGCATACCCACGCGCAAAGAATGAGGTCAGGTGATGAAAGGGAGGCGGCTGATTGGTCCGGCAAGCGCGTTCCTTCCACCACAATGTCAGCTTAGGGGTGAAGGGACTGAGTGAGGTCCGGTTTTGTGTGACGTGCGTTTGGACCCGATGACGCGCTTTTGGGACCGGGGATGTATCACAGTGAAAAGGCAGAGAGCTTACGAAGGGGAGGAGGTACGAAATAGTCCGCTGTGTTTTCAAATTTTCTCACTGAAAGTCAGGCTTTTGTCTTTCTACCTTTTTTCTTTTGGCCCACTGAACGATGTGCTATTAGTAAAATCCCAATCGAAAATGATTTGTCCCAACCAAAAATCCGTTTCATGGGCCCTTTAAAGGGGTAGGGAAACGAAATTTCAGCGCTCATTTTCTGGCTTTAATGTCTTGCATGTTGCACCCTAACCTCAAAAACACCAGTCTTCCATTGAAAAGCACAAGAAAACTAATTTTAAAGCTAAATAAACAATCTTCAATGTGCACCTGGTGGATGCATGCGGAGCCTATTTGGGAGGTAGTCTAGCAACGTTGTGGAATCTGCTACATAGTCGTGACGTAGCAGATTCCTTCGGAGCAGCGCCGCTCTTTGGCATTTCAACGTTTTCCTTCTTAGCTTTCCTCCTCAACTCACAAGTCGCGCATTGTACCAAACGGTCCAAGAAGACGGAAAGGAAGGACTCCCCTCTTTCTCGGACCCTCGTTCGTGCAACCGGACACAGCCATTCTCCCCCTAGAAGATTAGCCCGTCGCTCAAAACTCGAACAAAAGTTGCTTTCCCCACCTCGTTCAGCCCTATGCTGACAGTGTTGTGGAAGCTACGTGCTCCTTGGGCCAGCCACACGCTCGTCACCCCACAGGCACTTCGAGCGGCTCAGTTGCAACGCGCTGACGCTATTGACACCATCACAACGCTGACAACGCCACCAAGGGCAAAGCTCATAACCACGCCTGCCTTGCTACTCCACGAACGCGGGAAATCTTTTCTTTCTGTTTTTGTTTGCGCCGGATATCCCATGACGCATCGCGCTCTCCGTTCGCTTCTCTTCGAGCGCTTGCTCGAGTGCACCGTTTGGAACGAAAAATATGGCCAATCGTTCAAAATACAAACGCATGATTATAATTTACGATTATTATACGTCATGCTTGACTCATTTCCGAACGAAATCTGAATATTTCAATTTTTGTTTTCGTACCCCTTTAATGATGATAAGCCAATGGCCATTTCGGTCCTTTTAAATTTTCAAAACTTTGAAAAAGTCATTCTGAGCCAGCGGCACCAAGACTGCTATGAAGCGTTACTGTGCTGAAAGCCTTACTCGCCAATATATGCGTTTTGGCAGTGTGTATGCAATCAACGTATCAGTCCTGCTAATCTCCACAGATCCCTTAGATTGTCTATTTCAAGACAGGAAAGTTATTTTTCAAAGATGCCCCATTTGGTAAATGTGCACTGGTTTGGCCGGTGTGTAGGTAACAAAATATCTGTATTGAACCAGGGTTAAAAGCACCCGTGTTTGTCTTCTCTCTTGTGGACGTCTTTTGAGCGCTTTCAACCATGGTTCAATACAGTGTACACCAACTACCCCAACAACAAGTTCTTTTACTACAAAATATCTGTGTACAATAATTGTATTTATAAAGCAACCTCTCACTGCAAATTTGGATCAGCTCGCTGAGACTGGAGAAAGAGAAACTGCCCATTCCATAGAGCAAAATGGCAACCATTCGGGTCCTTGGCACTACTTATCCTGGGACTTTAGGGACTATAACCTAAGCTGGAAGAAAATAGTGTCTCTACGCTCTCTTACATAACTATTAGCCCGGAGAAGTTTGCGTGGCGCCCCCTTACGGCCAACTGGGGTGACGTCCCGCCCCTCTAGCCTCTTGGAGGCTGTGACGACGTTAGATGTCGACGCGCTCACCTCATTTCTGCTTACTTTTTTGGTGCGCATTTTTCGTAGAAAGTAAATTTTCATACGTGGTTTTATTGAGGTATTGCCTGTAGCTGCATGTAGAACTTGAACCAACATTTTGGGCATGGTTGACGAGGCAGGCGGCGCATGAATCGCAGCTGGCACATGAAAAGGAAGAAATGTGGCACACTTGCAGGAGCATCACGATAGATTTGCATCTCACATATTCATTGCTGCTGATGGTCTAAATAAATTATGTATACTATTTAGTTTTAGAGCGCAGCTCTTAGGGGCCCGTTTCCAGCCTGAGCGGCGTCGGCGTCGCCGTCGGCGTCGGCGTAACCGCGCCCCTCCCTCTCCTTCTCCTCCCCCTCCTCTTCCTCCCCCTCCTTCTCCTCCTCCTCCCCTCATTGTGTAGTATAGTCCGGGCGGGTCACGTGACCTCGGGGGGAGGGGGTCACATGACCCGTTTCCAGCCTGTGCGGCGTCGGCGTCGCCCCTCCTCCTCCCCCTCCGCTCCTCCCCCTCCCCCTCCTCCCCCGCCAAGGTCACGTGACCCCGGGGGGTGACTCCCCTCCCCCCCCCCCGAAGTCACGTGACGGCCCGCCCAAGGTCATGTGATCCCGTCCCCTCGAGGTCACGTGACCCCCCGGACCTCTGCCCTCCTCCTCCTCCCCTCATTGTCTAGTATGGTTCGGGGGGGGGGGGGGGGAAAGGGTCGCGTAAGAGCACAGCTCTTACGCGACCCTTTCTGGCTTGAGCGGCAAGGAGGAAAGCAGTACGAAGGTGGAGGAGGGGGGGGAGGAGAGACGAGGAGGCGGAGGCGAGGGGAGGGGAGGAGCTTGAAGGACGAGGACGTGGTAAAGGAGGGGGAGGGGGAGCAGGACAGGAGGAGGACTAGCAGGCATGATCACGAGGGAAGAGGATGAATATACCCTCCACTCCTCCTCCTCAAGAGCTGCGCTCCAATTCGGCGTTACAGGAAGTTGTAAACGGCTTTCACTTTTTTATTGTATCTTTGCTTTTAAACAAAAAAAGCCGAGGCATTAAAGCAACGTGCTGCTCTAGCAACGTGTTAAATATATAATCTGGGCCATGGAGAGAGATTCACAAGTGAGACAGCCTAGACAAAGAAGGAGCACAGGCATATACCAGTTATTTATATCTGTTTACATTACTTGCATTTGACCTTTGCTGGATTCGGATAGTATTTAAATGGACTCCACTGGTGGTACCTATGGACTTGTTTATAATATCTCTCAAGTAATGTACAACAAATGTATGTGAGGGTGTCTAGCCCGTTATGAGTTCCTTCTCGACAATTTACGTTTTACAGGCACTTAAGTTGAGATTTTAGCTAAATTAAATTGTCCTGAAAATAAAATACCGGAAGCTTTTCTCACATAAACTGTCACCCTCCAGAAGTTTTAGATTTTCTTCCAACTATTGCAGCATCTTCCACTGAACAGCCGCTCGAATGCTTGCTGTTCGTCCTGTTTTCCTCTCTTGTCAGAGTCCAGCTGTATGGAGTTTGGAGGCTGAGGAAGCTTTTAATGACCTGAAACAGTGTCTCTTACCTGGAAATGACAATTCAGACTAAACAATGTATTTTCCAAATACGAAAGGCTGGAATAAAGAAAGGCTGGAAACGACCCTGTTCCACGAGCCTTTCAAAGGCCTTCAGACCGGGGGCCTTGAAAGCATCCACGAACTGCGCATGCAGGGTGGCACGTGCAGGGTCGGGGTCGCTAGCTAATTGGCCGACTGTCCAAAGGCCTTTGGTATCAATGCCTTTTGAAATGGCCGCGAAGCGGGGTGTAATATTCTTTTTTTAAAATTTATTACCTCCAGTTTGCCCATGAGGCATTGTCATAGGGTGGTGACTTACACATTAAAGGGACAATGAAGGCGATTTTATTTAATTTTTTTAAATAGTGTTTTTGGGTTTCTTGGGAACCTAGCATGCTGCGCAATTTTTTGTAGTAGACATTTGTGACGCATATTTTTGTGCCTACAAAAGAGCTGAAGAAACCGAAACTGAACTATCTCCATTCTTACTTCTGGGCCTCCGCAAACGGAGGTAACGTAGAGAGTGACGTCAAGTGTGAATAGTCGGTATCGGTAGCATTTAGGAGATCGAGACTGGTTACCGCGGTGGGTTATAGCGCTGCGGTGGTGCAATCGTTTCGTCGGATCTGTCAACATGGACGACAATGCCGCTCTCGCGAGCGAGTTCGGTTCGGGCTTCCGTTCAGTGACCTAACACCAACAGAACGGGCGTATGTGGGTGGCGTTCTTCGCTATCACTCGAGGCCGACGGTGGCCACCCAGCCGGCAACGAGCGGCCCGCTGGCTCCGCGCAGCAAAGCTATGAGCAGCATTCGCATGGGCGAGACGAGAGTGGCGCGTTGCCGAAGGACAGGCCCTGCCCCTGTCCGACAGGGACGCGGGGGAAATGCCGAGGGGAAAGCGGCAGCGACCCGGGAACCGGTTCCACCGCGCGGGACGCTCCCCAAGAAGGAGAAAGTAAACAGCACCATTTTTGCTTTCACCATAGTCGGACGTCCACTCATTTCGTCGTCAAAGAACAAGAACGATTACTGGTCTTCAGTCGACCGTTTGAACAGCCATCTACGGTGAACAAATTTGGCATGACTATTACTTTGCAGGATCCTTTGAGTAAATAGACATCGACGTCTCTAGCGTGCTCCGCGCTGTGTTCTTTTTTATTTATTTTGTTTGCCCATAGTTGCTTGTTGCCCGTTTCGCATTCAGCGTAGCAAAGAAAAAAAAATAAGTATGCTGTTTTATTTATGGTTTAGTAATCATCTCCGGTCCGATTTATACTTTTCATCTTTTTTATTTATTTTGTTTGCCCATAGTTGCCTGTTGCCCGTTTCGCATTCAGCGTAGCAAAGAAAAAAAAATAAGTATGCTGCAGGGATGGGCAGTATTTCAAATACAAGTATTTGAAATATGTATTTCAAATACTTTGTGTATTTTGCATATGTATTTAATTACAAATTGGGTAATGTATTTCACGTGTGTATTTAAATACTAAAACGGGGGTATTTCAAATACAATTGTAATTAAATACATTTTTGTGAGCGAAAATACATCTCTCAAATTTATTTTCACTGTCCAGAGCAGGAAGAAAACTACGTTCTGCAACGAATGCAGTGTCTCTCAATCAAGCACAAGCGTTTAGTGACTTTGTGATTACGGTGCTAGTCCAGGGCAAGAATAGTGACGAAATCGACGTTCAAAGGCAGACTGGCTAAATTAGTGCCTTTGGCAACTTGTCATGCTTTCCAGTCTGATTTCCATCCATATTTTTGCCTGGAACATTCTAAATGCGCAGGTCGTCCAGATTTTCGTAACTGGTGCGAGTTGCAACGATAAAAAATTCTCTGGCTAGTGATGCGCGTCTTGGTCGTCTCGGTTCTTTGTTGGTCTATACCGAAATGTAATCGACAAAAAAAAAACTGCTTGAAGCTTTGTACTTTGTTCACCTATTACGTCCAAGCTGATTACATTTTTTTCTGATTATATTTCTATTACGTTACTAGAGCCTCGCACACTAACTCCCGAGTGTGCGATGCAAAATTAAAATGAGCTACCCAGAAACCCGTTGCAGATGCCCTGAAGTCGCTGACGCAAATTTTGAGGAATGTATTTGAAAAAGTATTTGGAGGAGACCAAATACATTTGGTTGTATTTGTATCTTGTGATTAAATGCTTTTTTGAAAATGTAATTAAATTTGTAATTAAATACATTCTTGACAAAGTATTTTGTATTTGTATTTCGATACATATTTGCATGTATTTTGCCCATCCCTGGTATGCTGTTTTATTTATGGTTTAGTAATCATCTCCGGTCCGATTTATACTTTTCATGGTTATTCAAGCAGAAAGTAGAACAGTATTCCTAAAAACTGCGAACCTAAATGTGACCGAGGGCATGTCTCTCATTCCGACCAATGACTGACGCGTCGCTTGTGACGTCGCGCTTCTTGGCCCCGCATCGGTCACGTGAGCTCCGCTTCTCCTGGCTTCCCCCGCAACTCTCGGGGCGTTGCCCAAGTCGATCCCGGTACGATTATTTCCGCGACCGTTTAATTGATTTGCGCAGCACACAAGCGCCGGTTTCGGCTGAAATTAGGGCAACGTGGCCTGAGACGTGCCTGGAACCCAATTCAGTCGTCAAAAAAATATCCGAAATTGCCTTCATTGTACCTTTAACATACACAAATAAAGAATACACATCAATGATCTACTACACCAGCAAGGCACACTACACTAGCGAAGCACACAAAATAAGGAACAGAAAAAGCTGGGGAAGAGGAGAGAAACCTCTAATGTTCTCCATTGCCCTTATCTCTCGCCCTTTCTCTCTCTGCCTGGCATTGCCTGCACTGCACACAGTCCTTCAACTAATGGCTTGTCCAAGACCCCTGGAACACAGTGGAGACACCATTTATGGAAGGCATCAGCAGCGACTGAGCAAGGAATCACTATAAAAAGCAATGTGAAGCAACCTGCTAGGTGCAGATGGACAAATTGGACCTTGTACAACTGCCTGTCACTGCTGCTGCCAGAATGTTGCAGTCCGCACTGTTGACAGCTTTTATAGTTGCATTTCCCCGCGCAGGTGACGCTGCAGACTATGTCCCACCTTGCCTTCGTGGGTATTGCTGCACGTTTTATGTTGACATTGAACTTGGTAGCTTTCGACCAGGCCGCTTGGTAGCGTGTGATGTCAGATGCGAGTCTATGCAGAAAGTTGTGCCTTTTTGGCAAAAAATGAACTTGTTGCGGGGGTCTCTGCCCAGCCCCAATGGAGGAGTCCCCCCGCCCCATCGGCGTCTTCTGGGACATAGAGAACTGCCAGGTGCCCCGGGGCAAGTCGGCCATGGCCCTGGTCTGCCACATCCGGGAGCAATTCTTCCAACGCTGCCTGGAGGCCGAGTTCATGTGTGTCTGTGACATACGCAAGGTCGGTGGGTTTTTACCCTCGCTCACAACGTGTGGTCTTTCATGTTAAAGGCCTTTTCACACTCACTTAGCTCTTTACACTCGACACTATTGCATTTACTCGCATAATTAACGCGTTTTCTTACCCGAAAATTTTTGTAAATGTAATTTTAAGTGCCTATCTGACGGGCATTACTATGGCACGTCTCCACTGACGGAGGCACACCGACGGCTGGTCGTAGGTGCACCATAATAACCGTGCTCTACAACTTTCATACCTTTTTTAGAAGGCCTCGGCATTCTTCTTGCCAAAAAAAAGAAGCGTGATACGAAGCTCACTTGGCACGGAATGCGACGCGACCGTTCCTAAGCCTAACCACAAGTAGACCACAGACGACGGCGTGTTATCAGTGATGTCACTGATGACGTCATCGGCATCCGCATCGTCATCGTCACCGATGACGTCACTAGTAATGATGACGTCATCAGTGACGTCATGACGTCATCGTCACGTGACCTCATAGGGGTCACGTGACCCCCGTGAGGTCACGTGACCCTGGTGAGGCGACGGCGACGCCGCTCGGAGGGAGGAGTAGCAGGCAGGATGAGGAGGTGAGGAGGAGGGAGGAAGGATATATACCTTCCCCTCAGCACCCTTCCCCTCCTCCTCCTCAAGAGCTGCCCTCTAATCCGGCGTTACAGGGAGTTGTAAACGGCTTTCTTTTTTAGCTTCTCTCCCCTTCTGAATCGCTTCTCTTGGTAGGCAGCCGCTTTGCGCTGAATTTTTTTTTTGTGCCCCTTCGGATTTGTTTTTCTTCGCTCATTTTTGTTCGCGGTTTGAGCTTTTGGAAATTTCTTTCTTTCCTACTTCTTTTTGGGTGGAAGGGACTGGCTAGAAGACGATAGTTTACGCGTTTTTGGAAGCTTTACCGAGGGAAAAAGTTTGACATAGCCAATATGTTGTTCATTATAAAAAGTACTTTTTACCTACATTTTTGTTTAAATTTTTCGTCAGTTCGATATCGACAATAATTCGCTGTACCTGGGTTCGTTCTAAATGGGTTTCGCTGTAGTTGTGGGTGTGGCGCACATTTTGTTTATTCGAAATTTTCATTTATATGTCATTTAATTTGACATAACTGTAGAAGTTTCAGCATTTATACACCTTCTGCACATACAATGTATTTTCAAGAAATAAAATTTTAAAATCTTTTTTTTTTACATTATACCAACATCTCTTCCTTTTGAAAGAACAACTAATTGGCCACATTTTGATGCGCCATATTGTCACGAATGACTTTCAGAGAGACTGTCTGTGCAGTGGGAAACAAAACGTTTAAGAGGGGCCAACTTGTGCCCAAAACAAAAATACAAAGAGGTAGCGTTGCAGACGTTGAAGGTCGGCGGAGTAGCACGATCGAGAGCAAGAGCGAGACTGGTGCTGGACCGCCAGGCAAAGCACTTTTTGTACCCGCGTGGGTTCTTGAAACATACAACGTAGAACGTTCGGTGTATAGAACATTCGAACCTCGATTAGACAACGTTCTCGAACTTAAGAGAATGCTAAATTGAAAGAAAAAATAAAAGTAGCGTCTGCTTTCAGGGATCGAACTTGGGACATCTGCACGAAAGCCAAGCAAACCATTCGGCCACGCATGCACTTGCTCGGCGCTGCGCTTGGCACTATTGCCGGATTCACAAATTATCTGGGAAAACAAAGTGTTTGCATGGATCCTTTGAAAATGGCTACTTTTCCCGTGGTGAGGAAAGAGTTCTTTACGAGTCAAGCCGAGCAATAAAACTTTTTTTTATTGATGCTGGTTGTCCCACCAAGCTAAATAGACCAAGCCATTAATCCCTCTTTTGGTGCTTCAAAGTTATTTTGTATCCTTAAATTTTCTTCATTTACCCCATTGTCATTGTGATCATAGGGGGTCCCCAGATCAACAGTTGTTGAGAATCACTGTTCTCAAGTCTGTCTAGAAAAGGTTTTTCTTTTCTTGCGCTCTTACAGGAAAGTGCCGAGGTGATCCAGGAACTGAACCTGGCGCAGTTGACCGTGGTGCATGTCAACGCTGTGGGCAAGAATGCAGCCGATGACAAGCTGAAGCAGTGCATGCGGCGCTTCGTCGACATCCACGGCAGTTTAGCCGTTCTGGTCCTTATCTCGGGTACGCCCTCCCTCCTGTGATGGGCTCCGGATTGGTTGCCTCCTTGATGCAAATCTCCAGGAACGGCTTGCTTTGCGGCACATTAGGCATCTCCAAACATGACTTGATTGGATGATCTGATTGACTCAGTAGTTAAAAAGGCCCCAAGGCAACCCATTGGTTTAGAACTGGTAGTTGCTAACCATGATAGGTAAGGTTCCTGTTTTTGGTTTACTGATAAACTCTGAAAAGTAACCCCTGAGCCAGATCCAGAAAAAACAAAAAACTCAGGATCGGAGCTGTCCTTCACCAAGACAAAGCCAAGCTTCATGGGAAGACATTTTAGAGCGCAGCTTTTAGGACCCGTTTCCGGCTTGAGCGGCGTCGGCGTAACCGCAAGGTCACGTAACCCCCCCCGCCCCGCCCCGCAATCACGTGACCCTCCTCCACAGTCACGTGACCCCCCTCTACCCAAGGTCACGTGACCCCCCTCCCCAAGCTCACGTGACCCCCCTAAGGTCACGTGACCCTGTGACCCCCCCGAGGTCAGGTGACCCCGCCGGAGGAGATTGAAGAATGAGGGCAGGAGGAGAAGGCGGAGGGGTCTACCCTCCCCTCAGTACCCTTCCCTCCTCCTCCTCAAGAGCTGCGCTCCAATTCGGCGTTGTAAACGGCTTTGAATTTTTTAACTACAGCTTTTTTTTTATTGACCCAGAACTCAACATGCGCTGAACTGTCTCTAAGTCTGCTTGTTTCTTTGAGAACCGCACTTGTCGGAACCAGAACAATGTTTCCAGTATTTGGGTCACGCATATCTTCCCTGAAACTTGGGTAATCCCACGGTCGTCTCCTGATCCCTTCAGCATAAACCCAGATAAGTGCAGACTTTTTGTGCAACAATGACAAATGCAGAATCTGTGAAAAAAAATGACCGCATCTCCACGTGATGTATGATGTCGATTGGGGCGAAGCTCTGGTGGTGCTAATACGCTGAGCCACAGTATGCCGAGCTTTTCGTTCGTTTTCATCCATGTGAGAAAGAGAATGTGTGGTATGGAACGTGGTTATGTACGCATTTGAGCATTTGACTGCAGCGCCCTCTCGTCGATAAACGTTGAGCCAATGCATGCACAGTTTAACGCAATTATAAACGCATTTGACTTCAGCGCCCTCTCCTGTATAGACGTTGAGCGGCTACATGCAACGTTTCATCCATGACATCCCCAGCTCTTGAGTTACTACCACATCTCAGAGCCCCCTGCTCGTCCCGCAGTCGTGGCCGAGTAATTAAGGCGATGGACTAGAAATCCATTGGGGTCTCCCCGCACAGGTTCGAATCCTGTTGACTGCGCAAACATTTTTTCTTCTTTAAAAAAGACAGATGGGAGGGGAATCGATTTGAGCACGGACGCCGGACAAGGCTAGACCCTAAGGAGCTTTGCCCCTAAAAATAAACCCCAACATTGGCGAATTGTAAAAAAGTTAACTCCAAAAACACAGAAGCCTAATGGTAAGTCGATGCTTGCTCGAGTACCATTTAGAGTTTGGAACACAAACTACCGGGTGTCTCAAGTAGCAACCAGGCTCTTTAAATCGACCGCAAAATTTGATTTTTTAACCTATCGCGCTAAGATTTTGTGCAGCGTTGCCCACAGGTGGTGCATATTTTCTATAATATTTGCAACGAGCGAACTTGCCTGAGGAAAAAGTAAACAAAAAAAAAAAGGCTTAACTCCCATGGAAACCCAGCGAAGCCACCGGTCTTAAATCAATAGGGCACCTACTGTTGAAAGACCGGTGACTTTGCTGCATTTGCGTAGGAGTTAAGCCTTTTTGTTTCTTTACTTTTTCGGTGAGTAAGTTTGCTCTTTGCAAATGCTATAGAAAAAATGCACCACCTGTGGGCAATGCTGCAGAAAATCTTGGCGCGATAAGTTAAGAAACCGCATTTTGCAGTCGATTTAGAGAGCCTGGCCTTTCCTTGAATCACCCTGTAGGGGGATGGCATTGACATAAAAGGGCAACTTCACGAACCAATGGTCGAAATTGCAATGCCATGCCGTGTGGACCAAGAATCAGAATCAATGGATCATTCGATTACGAATTAGAGATTGAATAATTGTGAAGAGGAGGTGAGGGAGAAACGCAGACCGAGAGTGCTGGTATAGTGGAGGAGCTAACAAGAATGGAACACTAAGATTCAGCACTTGTGGAGTTCACTTCCTTGGACTCGTGGTTGTCATAGGTGCTGATGCTTTTGATACAGATGGTGTTTTATCAGTTGAATTCTATCAGAAAACTGCTATGACGAGCTGTCACGAAGGACTGACATCACAATGTCGTGCGACACCGGGCTATCCTGTGATGTTGCGGTGTCACGCGATATCCCATGATACCATGGTGTTGTGATACCACGAATTCACATGACACAGATGTCGCGTGACATTATTATGCGAGGTGACAGTGTGGTGTCACGGTACACCATGGTCACGTGACCTCGCGACGTCTCTTGATGCCTCGACAGTATGTGACGTCGTAAAGTAATGCAACTCTGATGTGCCATGACACCGGGACGTCTTGTAACATTGTACTGTTGCATGATTTCATGTGACATCGTAGTCATGTGACGTTATGCTGTCGTGATGTCATTTATAGTGTTCTCTGGTGAAGCCATTTCCAAAACTGCTGGTCCGACGGAAGAGGTTGAGCCCATCAGCAATGCCGAAACTGGTCGTCTTGCGTGCAGGGGACGTGAACTTCTCGACGATGCTCTCCGACTTCCGCCACCGCAAGCAGGTGCACATCATCCTCGTGTGCCGGGGCTCTGCACCGGAAGCGTTGATGGCCTGCGCCAACGAGTGGCACGACTTTGCACAGATCGCCGCCGCCGTCCCCTTTAGGACACCACAGTCCAAGGTCTTGCAGTCTCACATTCTGCTCGCACATTTGGCACGCCTCGGAAAATTGGAATTTCAAATCATTTGAAATCGGCACGTCAACATTGCTTTGCAGCAAGTTTTATGTCTATATTTTTGTAGGGTGCAGTTCGGAACCGGTGATATTTAAAAGAAATATTGCAAAAACGGCGGTCGTGCATTTCCTCGGTCCTATCTTGGCCTCTCTTCATTTGAAAAGAATATCAACATAGTAAACATCCAGGTAGCATATAAAAAAAACAGCTAGCGACCCAAGGCCACCTTGTGAGGAGATGCGTAAGCCGGTTCCCGTATACCGCATTCAAGCCGATCCCTGCCCTCCATTAGGATCTTGCATCCAAGTTCACCACGGGCATAGTATTTTCAATAATGAGAGGAAATGTTACGTCTCTCTGGGCATTGTTTTAAAAAAGGGCGCCTTTTTCGTCCACAATGTGCAAAGTAGGAAAAGCAATAGCTGTAGCATGTTTGTGCAGTGCGGGCAAAACGGTGTCATCATGTACCCAAGAACAGTCCGTGAGGACATAATTTCCCCCATTGCACAAACATTCCACAGCTTTCACTTGGCGCATTGGCGGGGAAAACCTGGCCTAACCAAAGGCGCAGGTTTTCCCGGCGTTGAGTGGTGAAGGGATGATGGAATGTTGACGATGGAGCGTAAAGGAGACGCAGAGAAATGAGGCCAAGCCAGGATTGGGAAGCCGTAGCCATTGAAATGCGCTCCTGGGCGCTGGGGAGGGGAAAAAAGCGAGAGAGGAGGATGACCGAGAGGAGGCGCAGGAAAGGGGCAAGGAGGTTATGCTATTTGTCGTCACTGTTCCCAGATGGCGCAAGCAGTTAACAAAAGCGTGAATCCTGCCTTCCTCCCCACCCATCCCGTTCTCCCCTTTGGTCAGTTTTTTTGTATTTGCTCGCCCAATACATGAAATAAGAAAATACTCGGGAGTTTCATTTATATTTAATTTTTTCATGAACGCAAAACATTGCTTAATAAAAAATATATTTATATACCACGTATCGCAATACCAATGAGCCGATTGAGATGCAGAAAAAGAAATAGCACAAAGGACATTTGCCAAGTAAATACCTATCACATTCTGCATGCACACGTATATAGTACTCCAAATTACGACACACTTCTCGAGTGACCTTGTGTACGTCGCAACTGCGACATCGCAAGTAAAAGCGCGAGATGTGGGCGTTACCACACCATCTCATGTCCGGGTATCGCCCGGGCATACCCACCTCCGAGTGCATTCATCCGAGTGTCTTGTAATCACTAACGCACGACACCGACGCCGGGTGCCGCGACTCGCGAAAACACGCAAACAAAAACATGCGCCGATAAAATCGATCTGCCTGGCCCCGTACTCCGCCACCGACTGTTATCACTTTTGCTACGCACTACCCTCTGGTTTCACGGTACAGAAAGGACTATATGCCACAATGTGTGCCGGTCACTACTTGAAACATTCTAGGAGGGGTTTGCGGCGCCATGGACCCCTTAGCGGCATTTCACCGAACTCCATCGCTGCATTGGCCTGGCGAAGCTCTGCGGGGAAAGTGGGTGCAAGGTGACGTGTTTTGGCAGAGCATATTATGTTTCGAGTTGTGCTCGAGAAGTAGAGTTGTTATATATAGTGAAATCGAACGTTATGGAAGTTTCTAAAACCATTCAACATTACGCGTAGCAACTGGATAGTACCAAGCGGGGATTTCGAATAACTTGACTAATGTTTGAAAACACCCGTTTGAATATCGTTATCAGTCGACGAAAAAGACGCTCCGCTGACGTTTCTTCATTGTTGCGCCATTATTGGCGGGTCGTTGGGGCTCTCTTTCTCTCCTCTTTGCGTGGCCAATGGGGACACCTGACTTCTCTCTCCTAGCACCATCAGGGCAGAGAAGAGTGTCGTCTGCTTCTGCACGAATGCTGGACTTGCTTCGGGGTTTTGTTTCCTGGGTTTTAAGATACTAGATTTGAAAAGCACTGCTGCAGTTCAGATGAATCAAACTGACCTAACGTTATAAACAACCATTTTTCACAGGTAGCGTGAACATTCGATCCTGCAAGTAGCGCAAAACCTTCGCAGCAGTTAAATGCAGTTGCAGAACTACCCCATAAATGGCACCGATGTGCCGGCGTGTTTTCTCGTCGTAGGAAGCACAAGGCTGCGCAACGCACTCCATTGCAACCAAACGCAAGTGTGTGGAGCTCACCTGAGGACCGAGGTGCAAGTTTCCTAGCTTCGAAATCTTATCCGAAACTTGCAACAGTGTGCCACAACTTGTACTAAAGGAACGCTAGACTCCCCAGGAAAGCATTTTTTGAAATGCCCGAATAGAACATGCATGCCTCAAAATACCCCCTCCCCCCCCCAAAAAAAAAAAAGAAAAAAAAAGAAATATATTGGCACAATATTTACTTTAAGGCACATTTTGAGTAAAATGATTTAAGTTTGTCTTAAAATCGCTCCAACTCAAAATTTGTTTTAAAGAGGGGTGCAACGATTTTAAGATTAAAAGAATTTGCATCTCGTCATTTTTACGTTGTTTATCGTGTCTTCTAGGATAGAGTAAACATCTCCCTCATTAAAAATGTTGCAATTCCACTGCATAATTGCAAAGCAAAAGTGGAGCTTTTTCCCCCACCTGCAGCCCCAAGTGGCAGCCGAAGGAACTACAGCGAGAAGATTACTTGACCTCGCTCGGCTCTGAGCTGCAGCAGAACGCCCGCTAATGTACGCAGAGAGGGGGAGAGGAAGCATCCTCCAGGAACCTACACGACACTCCAAATGACGTCACTAGGAGTGCGACCAGGTGTGACATTGAAGACTGGGAGTGAGTTGAGGGGTGCCACAAATGCCTATATTTATCTTTTTTTTTACGCAGCGACTACGATGCGCAGGTGAAATCGGTTTTCTCTTCATTACTTCAGAACAACTGTGAGAGGGCAACTTCCACAAATTTTTGACCAAAGGCCGGAAATCGTTGCACCTCCCCTAGTAAAGTATAAATATTGTGCAAAGCAAATTTTTTTTTTCTTTCAGGAAAACATGTATGTGGGCTGTTCAGGCATATAAAAAGATTTTTTGAGGGAGTTATTGTTTCTTTAAAAACAAGTGTACACTGAAACATCCCCCCCTTTTTTTTTGTTGCCGGAGATGCAAGTTTGTTTCTTGAACAGGGTGTTGAACTGAAACTCTTTTCGGTTCAGTTCAGGTTACGGTTCAAATATTTTGGTTCGATTCAGGGTCAGCTCCTGAGCGGGAAAAATATTTGTTCGAATCGGTTTGAACAGATTCCTGTGGGTTCATATAACAGTTTGAAGAGAAATGAAAAGTTTGACCAACTATTTGTGCACCTCTACTGCCATGAAGTGGATTATTATGGTATCAAATACGCATTGATTTATTGGTTTTACACAATCAATGTATCTATTGAGACATGACATGTGACTGGATGCCAACCTTTTTTTCCCTAAATGCAACATTAAATATATCTACTGCAGGAATGGACGAGTGCCTCCAAAATTGTTCCATGCACAGGCAATATTAATTTTACTGATGTGTCTTTGCTGCGTAAAACAACCGGAGAAACGGGACATCTTCCGGTTTTATTCGGGCTGAGTCGTGGTTGTTGGCATAATAGGATGTATTTCAACACCGAGAAGGACCTTTCCACGTGCGTGGCTGGTACTGCAAGAGCAACGACAGCGAGTGAATATAATTTGGAGCGTTGGGACTTTTCCTTTTTGCAACATTGCGAGGCATTTCGCCCCCGGCTAATTCGGAGCACCTTTTCAAAGCCATCCAGTAGGCTCTGAATCCTCCCAAACATGGAAGAAGGGTCGCTGAATGGTTTCAGGCAGCCGCTTCCTTTTTTCACGAGGAACGCTTCAAAGTCGTCATCGTGGTGCTTGAGGTTGCTGTGACCAGGCGTCTTCTTTAAGCACGCAAAGCTTCCGCGTCAGTAGCAGATGCTGCTTTGCACTGGAGCTCTCCTCGCTTGTTAGCATCACATTGGTGTCTACGATCAAAAAGTGTAGCCGCACAGAATATGTCGCTTCCGAGCAACACCTTGTCTTTCGCCTTTTACGTCGGCGCCTTTTTGTCACTTTTTGACGTCTCAATTTGACGCATGAGCTAGCTGCGTAGAAGTCTTCCAAAGTAAGTTGCACCATTTGAAGCTGCACAGTTGCTTCCTCGGCCAACCTCAGGGAGCAATTACATTGTTTATGGATTGCCAGTGTTCTCGAGTAAGGCAGCGTTCATCATTGGTTAATTTCGTCGCAGAACTCTCAGCTCCAGCAGTCGTCGCATCATGGCCCCGATGGGCGTCCACCTCGTTACGCAATCCAGCTGACGCCTCATTACGCAATTCATTACGAATTCCTCGGAGAAGAGGTTTCTCATCTGAAGAAGCCCCTTTTAATTCTTGGAGGTAGGAGGCTCCTTCTGAGGCGCCACTGTACACGTCTCGGTGTGCCGACTCGGACACGACCAGCACATTCTTCTGCTAAGAAAGCAAATGTTTTCGGCATATTGGCTTCCTTGTCGGTCGTTATACGGTAGACCTGCTCTGGCGAGACGTCGTACCTCGAAATTTACCCCAAGAACTTTTCAAATGTTCTACGGTGTGTCGCTCAAACATTTCTTTCATTGCTGGTGTTTGTGGGTGAATTCTTCAATTTTGGATGGATTGGACGTTCACGCCAAGTCAGTAACTCGTACCGTGCAATGGGACTCTTATCATCTGGCAACTGGCGCATTTTTTTAGACTTTCTGCAGGGTGCTTTCGGCACCTACTGTTATGCGCTTTTTGAGGTTTTTCAGCACAAGGTCGATAATTTTCCCGAACCCGGAGTCATCCATCGAACACACTTGGCTTCCGGTTATGTTCAATGTTTCACCAAAGCCCCGTTGTGCAATAGTGTTGGTTGCTTGAACAGTGTTCTTCGCGACTGACTGGCAGCATGGTTGCCAGCTTCTGCAGTAGAAGTGCACCATACGCTGCCTCGTGGCGTCTCTACGTGGCGTTTGGGGAGCTACAGCCCATATTTGTCGATTGGTATACTTTTGTCAAATTTGAAATTTTTCCGCACTGGGTTCTTCTTCGGCAGCACGATCTTGAGACGGAGCTGTAGGAGCCTATGCGCATTTCCGCCGTTTATGAAAATCCCAGTCTGCGCGTACTAAATCAGTCGCCGCGAAGTGACGTGTACGGGTGGGTTTCTATTTTTGTGATTGGCGCTGCAGACTCGCTGCCATGCGGCGTGAACGAGCCGAAGGAGTTGGGAGCTAACGGGCGCTTTGGTAATCCACTTGAACCTCGATTTAACCGAGTCACTGGGTCCCGCTAATTATTTCGTTAAATCGGGATCTTCGTAATACCGAGAAAGACATTTTTCGGACATAGGCTGCGGGGGAATCCGAAATTGTTTTTTTTAAATCGGGAAATTTGTAAAATTGGGTTTCGTTAAATCGAGGTTTAACTGTACGTGCGCGAAGTAGGCGATCCTTTTTTTTTCAACAGCGTCCCCTTTTCGATTAACTGCATTTATTCGAGCTGAGGCTCTACTTCCTGTAAACTGAGGTTCGATTCAACGGGCCCATTCTCTAAAGTGTGTTTCGATGGAATTGCGTTTAATCAACCATGTAGTAAACCCGAATTTGGTGTTGCGTTATTTTCGTGGTGGCTCGGTGCGTCATCCCGTCGGCGCAGTGGGCCAGGCGTGAGTGCAACGAGTTTGAGCGGGTCAGGCCGATTTTATGACAGTCCTTAAGAGCAGTTATTGGTCTATGTTTTTGTAATTTAGGCTCACAAAAATATTTGCATAAGTGGAAACACCTTGGTCCGCAGCAACGAGCCTCTCACAATTTTCGGCGCAGAGTGCACGGAATAGTAAAGCATGAATGCATGTTCGAACCATTTGGCGAACCGGTTTGGAACGGTTGTTTTGTTTTGCTCCGGGTCAGGTTCAGCTGCCTAGATTTAGCGGAAAAACCGGCACTGCCAGGCGACACCACATAACCTGACCTAATGTCACATCATGCAATGTCATGTGAGGGTAGGTGATGTCAAAGTCGGTGACGTCACGCGACACTGTGAGTCGGGCGATGTGATGTGTTGATTACACATGAAAGGGTGCCGTGATGAAACCTGGGAACTAGGGGTGCACATGAAGAAGCACAACCATATTTAAGGACCGCTTCGGATGGGCCAATTTTCCCAGCAATTTTGGGGTGAGTTGTTCCCTATATTTCCCTAGATCTTGGCACCGCGTGTGGCACGAATTGCTGGGATCCAGTTTGTCTCGAAATGGGCGAGCATTTCCAACAACATAAAACGGCCCCGCAACAACTTTTTTGCTGTCTTTTAATTTGCACCGAACCTGCGCGTGCTGAACGTAGTAACTTGGTCAAGCTTTCCTTTTCTCGAAATTCGCTTTATTTTAAAAGTTATAGGCATATTATAATTACAAAAAGAAGCAGGAAATGACCTCCCTCATGACGTCCTGTGTCCGCCCTTTTCTCGCGCCGTAGGACTCCCCTTGCCCCAGTGACTGAGGAATGTGGGGAGGGAGGGGAAGACGGGGAAAGGAGGGGAGGGAGGTGCCCGGGAGTGCTCTCTCTCCTCGGTGACGTCGGGACCAACGTTACGATTTCGTCGCATGCCGCATTCGACACCACAAGGCAGCCCCGTAGGAGGTTTCCTTGTCCTTTGGTGACAATTGTTGCGCTGATATTTAGTTACTCCCTCCGTGCCCGCTGGGTTGCCCGAACCACAAGAGACGTGGGAACCGCAAAATAGGTAGACGCTTAAAGAGGATTGCAGGGCCCCTTTCAAGATGTTTGAAGCAGCAGCTGCCACTCGAGAGGAGATATTTTCACACGATGCCCCCGATGATGATACAAAAGACGGGATTCAAATTTGTTTTTAGTTTCAGATAGATAGGCTTCGGAACTAATGTTGTCATGGAGATGAGTTAGTATTCTTAATGCCATCTAATAATAGTGAATTACAATTTTAATGGTAATTGCAATACGCAGCGATTGGAGTTTTTGTGGCTGCTGTTTGTAAATGTTGCTCATGTTGCTGGTGTTGCGACGTGAAGGTGTGACAAGTTGGAGTGTCTGAGGCGGGCCTACAACATTGCCACGAACATAGTGGAGGCGCTTTTAACGTGTTTCCGACTGGTGTGTGTAGCGTCCTCTACTGCCCATGCATGCAAAGTAGTCCCCAAGTGGCAACGATTGAAAAGCGGGAGTGTCACGCTGTTGTTGGAAAAACCAGCGGTATCGCTGGCTGCCAATGCTCGCGTGGACTGTACAGTGGGAGGGCAACCTGCAGCAGCACCAGCGCTGCTGTCGCACCACCAGGGTTGCAGCCCGCGACGTCTAGGGGCGTATATGGAGGGACAGCTTTTGAGGACGGGGTAGACACGCTGTTGCGAGTCCCCGGACAGTGGTTGAGCCTGTTGCTGGGGTGCAGGGTGGGAGCCAGTGCTGCGACCTGATGGTGCGCAACCTGCCACTGGACAAGGAGCCCTCCCTGGTGCACAGCCGGCTGCGCCAGCTGTCGGACAACTGCGGGGGACGCGTGCTCTCCATCGTGGGAGAGTCGGCACGCCTCAGGTTCTCCACCCCGGACGACACTCGCAGGTACCTTCCCGGGCAGGAGTCCCCGGAGAAAGCAGACGATGGGTTGGCCGTGTTCCTTTCGCCCGGACGAGATCGAGTTGTTTCAGCTTTCGTCAACTTTATTTCTTTCATTACGGCGCGCGATGCCACTGTTTATATGTGAAACGAAGCTAGGAAACAACGAAGCACACGCCTTACAAGTCGTGTTTCGCCGCTGCTTCGCGCATATTAAAGTGTCACCGGCGATCTGGGACCGCCGACGTACGTGTCCATGCCCCGCCGTCAGGAAGCGGCCGAAATACCCGCGAAGCTGGAGGACCTTTCCCTCTATGTTATTATACGAATCCTACGTCTCGAGCGTAGTGTTGTTCTAAGTCCCGCTTCAGACGAGGCAACTTTCCCGGCAATTTCTGCGTTGCTGGCGAGTTTTTCAGTTTTCCCTAGTGCAACGCAGATTGCTCGGATCACGTTTGGTTCGAAAGGGACGAGCAGCTCGGCCAACTCGGAAACGTTTGAAGTGGCAGCAGCCAATCTCGGAAGCAATATTTTTGCGTGACACCTCGTGCAGGCGACGATGACGACGAAAGACTCGGTTCTGGTTTGAAATTCATTGTTTTTGTGGATAAATTGTTTCAGAAAGATGAGTTAGTATTCTCAACACAATTTAAAGCTATAAAAACGCGTTTATAGCGCATAACTGCGTGTCTAGATAGTGCTAGGAAAATAAAATTTAATTATGACGATGGCAAATCGCAGCAATTGGTTGCTGCGTGTGAACGTAGGCAGACCCGTGTTGCTAGCATTGCAACGTCAAGTTGGCAGTAGAAGTCGCCCCGGGGGGTCTGAAGCGGGCTTTATGCTCTAAGCAATCTGGACAGCCTTCGAGCTGTCCAGATTGAGACAAAGCGGAAATACTGAGGGCAGAATGGTGTTGCCTTTTACAGCGGAGCTGTTAAGGGCTAGGTTCCCCTGGATCGTGTCCGGTATCAAAGAACTGTCGACACAAACCTACATGAACCTCTGGACAGCTACCGCCATCTATAAGTGACGGTGGCAACCAGGCAACCAGCCTGGTTGCCGCCGTCGCTCATCCGCTTCCACGACATAACGGCTGTTGCTGACTTTGAGCTGTACATACTTTAAAGCGCAACTCTGATTTATTTTTGGTTTTGAAAATACGTAGCGTAAGCCTAGGTTCAGCTGGTCATTCTTAGATTTCCTGGTTGTCTAGGATTAGCTTGATTATCACGCTTACTGCTGCTTCAATCACACGCACACGGTATACACATTATGTGACTACTTCAGGATCCAATGAGTTAAGCTTTTCCACTTATTGCCGAAGAGGGGCCGTGTAACCGAGCTTTCGGTTGCACCTCGAAAGATCCCCAGGTGGTCCAAGTTAATCCTCCGCTGGGGCGTGCCAGATTCCTGTCGTGGCCAGCTTTGCGCCGTGCTATGTATCAAGTAACCAGGCTGCCGCCCAGAACAACGGGACAGCGCGAGCCATGATCTCGAGTGAGTGCGCGTGCATCGGGGACCGACCGAGGCGCCCCGCCAGTCCTGCCTGTTCCGTCACTGCTCCTCGTGCATGCGCAGCACGGCTCTCCAGGCGCCACGCCAAACTGCTCAACCTCGGCCAGTGGAGCTTGCGCTACAAAACAATACAGTCCCCTTTAGTATCGCCTAGAAAGACCACGCATAAAATATTACGACGCAGTTCTGTCTAAATGTTTCGAAACGGACTGGCAAACTTAGCAACTCGCCAAGTTGCAGAAATCGGCTGACTCAAGCGGGCAAATTCAGCCGCAACCAAAAGCGCAGCCAAGGCTACGACGTGGGCGTAGCCAACATTGAGCTAAACGTCATCACCAGTGCCCCCTTTTGCTTGTTTTTACTTCTCTGTGCGGGCTTAGCGGATGACGTCAACAGCGTTCCCTTTCGGCGCTCAGCAGTGTCCATGTGGCTGCCGTAACGCGCCTGCACAGCGAGCTTCTTGGGAGCCGTACGGCTGCCCCGCCGTGATTCCGCCGTACCGCCGCCTCCCGCGTCACAATGGCCGTCGTCGTCTCACCGTTGGTGATTATTGCCTCTCAGAGTTTCGTCCATACTAGGGACACTATGCCGCAGTTGCGCAGATGTCGTCAAACGTCATGGACACCGCAACTTGGCGAAGAGTGCGGTGCAAATGACACTTGTGCCTGGCACATGCCTGCCCCAATCCTGCCTGTTATTGCATAGATGATCACGTGACATTTCCACGGTGTCTAGCTACCGGGCAAACCGGGAATTGTCAGGGAAATTTTAATTACCGGGAGAAATCAGGGAATTGTCAGGGATATTGTCAAAAAGCGAGCCCAGTCAGGAAAAATGAGCCGGAAATGCCATCGAGTGCTCTGAGCAGACTTGTGGACTTGGGGGCAGAAAAATAGGCAATAAATACTACCGTAATATCCCGTACGAACGCCCACCCAAAATGAAGTAATAAACGGAGAAAAGTATATTGTGGGCGATCTTAGGGAAAGCGACGGCATACCGTATTTGCACGAATATAACGCGACCACGAATATAACGCGAGGGCAGTTTTTGATGCCCCCAAAAAGAAAAAAAATATTATTACTATTATAACGCGAACCGATGCCGCGTCAATTTCTCGCACTCGGTGGCATAGCAGAAGTGAAAAGTCAATGGAAATAGAAGAAATATCAGTTTATGTTCTGACTGCACTCATCCTCACTGCTCAGGTCCTTCCGTTTACAATCCACTTGGCGACTACGCAGGTATGCAGCAGCACGGCACCTGCTTGTCTGGTAGTTCTTTTTTCTTCCGTGGGAGCTCCTCGGCAGCCCACAATCCAAACAAGGCGCGGAAGCAGAAGCACCAACACACAAACACCAGACCACTCTGGAGCAGGAACTAAACAATGCGCAGGCAGAGAAAAGACAGCTGAACCCGATACACGATCGCACTTCTTGTTCTGGTCCCTCTTAGTAAACAAATGCCTCGTGTTGCACGATTGCGTAAACGCGGTCGGTGGTCTTGGCTTGGCTTGTGTTGACTTGACTTGGCCCGGCTTGGCTTGGCTCGAATTGGCCGGTGCCCGCATTCCCGCATGGCGCGCGCGCGTGCGGCGTGTGCGGCGTGCGCGCGTTGTAAAAACACAAAAGCGATAAAAATGCTTTTTTATGTTTTCTATTCGCCCCTTCACGTGGCCCAATGGCTAGAAAATGCCCCTCCACACCCCTACTTCTTTTTCCATTGGATCTTTTGCATTGAGCTGGAGGGATGACTTTTTCCTCTGGCTTTCTCCAGACTCGTGCGCACTGATCGCGCCTCGTGGCTGAACTCGATTCCGAATATAACGCGAGGTGCGTTTTGGAGCACGTAATTTCGAAAAAAAACTCGCGTTATATTCGTGCAAATACGGTAATTTTTTGAAAGTAAGGATAAACACAGCAGCGCTACCTACAAACCACATGACAACGGGCACTGGTACCGCAGACGGTGGACACTGCAAACTCACGTTCCACAGAGAGGTAAACACGCAAGAATTACTGCAAACTTGTGCCATGGGAACAAACATTACAGATTGCGGACGCAGCAAATTCTGATTTCACGACGCAACAAGACGCAGGAACCTGCTAAAAATTTGCGTGTCACGGAAAGCAATGCAGTCTAAGCTCATTATAACAGATATTGATTTTGACCGAGATTTCGGTCTGTTGTAAAAGCGGTATGCTGTGTGCAGATATGAAGTTGAGTGAATGGTGCATAGAGGAAAACTAACCGAACTTCACAGATTGGTATGTTATAACCAAATGTCTGTTGTAACCGGGTCTTTTATAATGAGCTTAGGCTGTATAGCGCGAGCTGATTGCGGACAAAAATGTGCGGCGACCCGCGACAAACTCGCGTGTCACGGACACGGATACCGTGGCTCGCGGACGCAGCAGATTCGCCTTTCACGGCGCTACAGACTCGCACGTCACGGGAACTGCTATTGCGCGTGCAGGTTCACATTGTACATGGCGTGAAGTTCGCTAGAATCGAGGGGTGGGCAATGTTTCGGATTTTCCTGGTTGCTGATACTTAGTCATGAAAAGGTAATGGGTGCACTCTCGGAGTTTTGTAAGGACGTAAAAGATAGCAGCACCGGCTGGGCCGGTTAGCCGATCAATGTGGCTATTTATCCTGGCAGCTAAAATAGCCGCAAGAGGAATTCACTGGCCACGGGACCGGCTCGGAGGACGGGAAATGACTAGCGTTCCGGCTGATTCCGCTTGGAAGACGTAAGCCTTGCCCATTGTTTTCTTGAATTCTCGCATAACGCGACCTTTCCTAGAAGTAACTTAATATAAACTTATGATAGCTTCTAATGTACACAAATGCGGTTAATTTTACTTACATTTCGAGCCTCCGGGCCCTTTTTCTGCGTTCCTAATCAGATTTCGGTAATCAAAGCGAGGACGTCACTATGGCAGGCATTTGTCCGTCTCGGCGTCAATTATCTTGCGTTGCATAATCGAGACCGACGGAGCTTCCACAGTGCTCCGATGCCGTCAGAAGCACTTGCGCTTTGCTTCGTTTGGCATCTCCGCACGAGGGCGCTTGCGAACGAGGTGCCAGACTAAGTCGGCTGTGCTGGGCTGCAGCACCGCCCAAGTTACGCTAGCCTCGAAAACTGGGCAAAATAATGTTGACGCGGAGCTTTTTTTTTTATAGGTACCTCGTCCCTATGAAGCCGGTCACGTGACCAGAAAATCCTTTTTGCGGCTATTTTTGGTTCGTGGGGGGACGGCTGCATTATGGACTGCCCCCGAGGTGCAGGCCGTTTGGCGCGAGGGTTATCCAGGCGCCCGCTGTCCAGAGAGGGCCACTAGGGAACCTGGATTGTTCCATCCCAAACCACGGGGATCATCCAATTGCTCCTCGGGCAGTTGGTCCCGGCTGTGCACGCGCCGTCGCGTGGCGAAGGGGAAAGCAGTCGGCAGGGCGCTTGCTGACGACGAGGTTGCGTAATGGCTGGGCTCCCCGGTGTGCAGGGCGTGCAAGCGGATGGACGGGGAGGACGTGTTTGGTCGCAAGATAGCCGTGCAGCTGCCGGAGTCTCGTCAGGCCTGGAAGTGGCGGGGCCGCCGGCTGGACCGGGCGGCGGCCGTGCGCAGCAGCAGCAGCAACAGCAGCAGCAGCCGCAGCCCCGAGTCCTCCTGCGCCGAGGCCGACAGCCAGCGCTCCGCCCACCAAGGGTACCTTGCAGCCTTTATCCCAAACTTCCATTGGGAAAAGAAATTCAGTGCCATCCGGAGCACACTGACATTTCTTTAGGAAACCTATCCTCAGAAAACTAATTTAGTAATCAACATTTTTCTTCACTAGATACGCACCAGAATGCCTGGACAGTGCAACTGGGAAAACAAAACTTCAAAAAACTAATTTATTATACGCTAACGTCACGCCGAAAAAGCGAGTAAATTTTTTGCCTTTTATGTCGTCGACAAAATCTTAACACCTTTTATATAAGACATCCCCCAAGTAAAAAAAGAATGCCACAGTGCCATTGCCCATTAAATTCCAGTTAGGAAAAACAATGAGTGAGACTTTTCTTTTGTCCCTTTACCTAACGATAGTTTTCCTAAAGCGAAATTCATGCCAAAAAATGTGTGCCTCTACCTTTTCTTTAGCATCGGGGTACCGAAAATAATCTATAAAAGATAACTGTGCAGTGTCAACATATGAAACTTAACACTCTCTAGATGTTGATAGTTGTAAATATGGCCTTTTCCAAAATCAACTTGTTTTTTGCAGATATATATTTTTTTTCTAGCTATTCCCCCTTCGGTTGTAAACTCGCAGACTAGCAGAATCTGTTCAGCTGGGCATGTGCGGGTTTGTGATGTCACGTGATGTCACTGGGTCACTCGAATCCTCACGGGTCTTTTTGATGTCAAGGGCGTGTGAGCAGCCCCTTCATGACCTTGATCACTTGGGAATGGCGTGTCACTTGTTTTTCTGGAACTTAGCATTAGGACATATAACACTTTCAAAGGCTAAAGGGTTTGGTATCCTGGGCATAGCTAGAGCCATTACATGAGCCGCGCTTAGGGCGCAGTCTCTCCGTTCCCAGGTTGTCTCGTGTGTTATACCATCTTGTTACTTGGTACGGGAATGCAACTCGCAGGCATGCAGATGGTTCTGCTCTGCTGCAGACTGTTGGAATGTTTCGGGAAAAATTTCGGGCAAAGCCTCAGATAACTACAACAATGATTTTAAGTGAGGAGAGGGTTCCGGTGTACTTATTCTCAAGCAGGGCTTCTGAAACATTTGGAATGCCAGGAACCCCCATCTCTTTGGATGGATAAGACCCCTTCCGAACTTGGCACTGTTCTAATGCAGGAGCCTATGGGCAGGCTGTCTAGTAATTGGGAAAACCAGGAAGTGTCAGGGAAATTTTGATTGCCGGGAAAAATTCGGGGACTCTTAGGGATATTGGCAAAAAGCGAGCCCAGTCAGGGAAAATGAGCCGGAAAGGCCATTGAGTGCCCCGAGCAAAGACTTGTGGACTTGGGGCTGCTTAGAGCGGAGCGCAAGCTCTGCTGGATATAGAGGGTGCTACCCGATGCAAAAAGAACAGCCGACAAATCCAGTCCAAGCCTTGGATCGGATTGGATTGAGGGCGCGGCACTAGGCTGGATCAACGTAGTATCCAAAAGTGCTTCTCGTGGTCGTGTTGTCACCCGGTTATTGACGTGTGTGGTTCAGCGTCATGTTTTCATTGTGTTTTCGGAAGTGGCCTCTTCACTGACGATGTCGGCGGCAAGAAAGTGCTCGTTCAATCCGGACTGGACGAACCCAAATATTTCGGAATATGCAAGTTAGACTAAGCCCGTGCAAAATGATCCTCACTGTGCTCAATGCTCAATGCGTTGTGTTGTAATGGTCTTATATATTTAACCACTTCCACAGTGGTCATGGAATTTCAGCTTTAATTGTCAGGGCTGGAAAGTTGGGGAATTTCAAGAGTAATTTGCTAGACACCCTTACAGGTGTTGTAAACAATATTGTGCTGTTAAGGAGTGTTTGGTTCAGTTAGACATATGGCTATTCACGTACAACTAGATGCACATTTCATCTTGCGCAACTACTCTCCCCTTACAAAAAATTGCTCGTTTTTTTCTTAACATTTATTAGGGCCCTTTCACAGCTCAATACTTTCTACCCTCTTGGTTCACATTTTTGCTTTTGTTGCGCTTCTTGATGCATCCAGTTGTGAGTACTTATTAAGTGTTTCACATTCCCTAATGTCATTAGATATTGACAGTTCCCTCGTTACCATTTTTGTACATGTTCAATTTGAATATAAACGGATCTTTCACAAAAAGGGCGGAGAGAGTTTGACGTGTTCACCCTTCACCATATTAGGATAAGGAAAGAATCATTGTGGTGAAGCGAATAATTAATTAATGAACTTTTGAATTCTTAGTTTTATGCGTCATGGTGCAATTGCAGTATTGACAGCCCAGGCCAATTCAAACAATTTGCGAAAATGTAATAGTTTTTTTTAAAACATTATTCCATCAATTTTCGCGTTGTATTTAAAAACCATGCGAAAGGAGTGCCCACAAGTCCTGTCCACGATGAAGTTTAGAAGGTGGCGTAGTCATTCCAGTCATGTCTTACCCTTGGCACGAAAGGCACACTGTTGACATAGTGACGTCACCCTTCCAAGCGTGTTTCTGGGCACGACTTGCAGCACTCTCATTGCGCGCAATATTTAAGTCGGGCCAGAAAGCATGAAAAATCAGCAATCAATATCTCAAAATTCTTTTATTTGGACTGGACACTAGTTCCTGTAAATACTTGAATTGCAACATAACCCCTAAAACCAAAAATGAAAAAGTTTGTTAACAAACTTAAGGTAATTGATTATCTCCTCATTCAATGTTTGCCGAACCAGATGAATACTGCAAAAGACTAAATTTTCGTAAGGACCTAATTTTTGCGAATTTTGCAATTGGCTTACAATTCGCGAAAAATGCGTCCCGCGAACAATTCGGGCAATATGTGAATGCTACGGAAGCTACGCTCGATTCGTGAAAATTGGAACCCGCGAATAATTTCAAATTTTCAGCTTTGGCCCGATTTGCGAAAATTTTAGCCCGCAAAAATTAAGTCGTTCGCAGTACTTGATGAAAACAGCTGTCATCCAACTTTCACCACCTTTAAAAAGAAATCTGTCAGAATTCAAAGTGAGCACCCTGTATATTGAAACATTTAATGTTAGTTATAACATGAGTCTATATATATATATTGCAACTTTCACGCTTTCACCCTCATGTAATGCAATGCTAAATCCCTTTGAGGTAAAAAGTAAATACATGAAGTCAATGAGTCGTTGAAATTTGCGAAAATAGCACTCCAGCTGCAAAAACAGCCGACAATCAGGACTAGGAACGACGGAGGGGAACTCGCGAGGGCCCTCTGTTCTGAGGACACTCTCATCTGAGCCAAGGAGAGTTGACCGAATCGACCGGACTTGCATGGAGGCAGCAGCCATCATTGAGCCGCTAAGGACACTCAACTGGATCGGTTGACCGACCTGCGCTCACGAAAGATGGCAGTGGCATGGTCAGTGACAGGCAGCAGAGACACGTCTGTAGCTGCGAGTTGCCCTTATAGCGCAGTCAGTGGCTACGTCAAAGGCGACGCAGCTTCTGCTCCCATCTTGATTTCTTTACTCAAACATAGCTCGTCTGAAATGCTCATCAATGGTAAAAAGCGTGCCTATAATAAATTTCCTGGGCTGTCTATAGAGGTGATCCGTCCGAGATAGAAATGGTCGTGTAGCCCCCTCTTGACCCGAGGACAGTCGAAATGGTTTGGGTAATATTAGTGGCCTCGGGGGTTGTCTCTCTTGCAGCCTGAGCCGGGGCTTGGCTGACCGGCTGCTGGGGCCCCTGTGCTTTGACCCCACTCCACAGCATGGACTGGCACGGCCCGAATGTCGTGTGGACGTCGCCAGCGCAACTCCGCGCTTCCGCAGCCCCACCACCAGTCGGGTAGGTTGCCGTTGTTTGCTATTAACGGGGTTCTCAAAAAAATATCTTTTGTTTATAAGTCTATTTCAGTGACTTTTTGCACAGGCATGCAGTTTATTGCCGTGATTTCGTAACTGCAATCAGGTTTCAGATATCTTCTTTGTCAAAAGTTATCAATAAAATAAAGTATGAATTAGCTAATTTCAGGAAAAGCTTTAAAAAACTTTCTTATTAAAATTTTAATGAAAAAAGGTAGCAATTGCTTCCTAAGGAAATGCCACGCAGGCCTAAGCCATTTTTATTTCTTTTTAATTAATTCGAGTCTTTATTTCTCTCGGATCAACCGAAAGAGGAACAGAGACTAAAGGCAGAAAATGGTTCAAGTCACCAGGCTCGATCTAAAATGGACCGTAAAAATGGACGCCTGCACGTAGCAATCTAAACTTTTCGTCAAAGGTGTATTTCACAGGTCGGTTTTTTCTTGTAAAATTACAAAGCGTAGTTCTCTTTGAGTAAAAAATAGGGCCAAGAAACTTGCCAGGGTCTACGGCGGGCGGTGACATAGACGACCAAGTCCAGCAGCGGGCTGTGTTTGCCGTTTGTATTGATAGATGGCGTCGGGAGAAGCATCTGAAGGTGCAGCCGACCAGCCAAAGATAGCAGACGACACGCAGATGAAATCCGTTGGCAACAATAATAATAATAATAATTTTTGTTTGCACAGATTGCGACACCCACTCGGCCGCTTGCAAGGCTAAGCAGAAAGGTTGAGACCCTTACGCAGGTGCGGCGCCGTTATGCGGACGCATTTTTTTTTAACTTTAAGTTTTGCTTTTATTGTTCGCATTAATTTTTTAACCGAAGGTACATTTAAAAAAAGATTATATTCATTTTAATAAACCACGATGGTCGCGAGCCGTCGCGATAAGGAGGTAGCGCCATCTATCAATACGAACGCCAAACACAACCCGCTACTGGACCCCTGTCGTCTGCGTTGCTGCCCGCCGTAGACTCTGGCAATTTTCTTGGCCTTATTTTTTACAGAAACAGAGCTTCGCTTTGTAATTTTACAAGAAAAAACCGACCTGCGGAATACACCTTTGATGAAAAGTTTAGATGGCTACGTGCAGGCGTCGATTTTTATGGTCCATTTTAGATGGAGCCTGGTGACTTGAGCCACCCCATAGTTATTCGCTGCGCAACGCGATGATTGGCTGTATATGTGCTCTGCGGTAAAGCAGACACACGGGCCTTGTTCATAAATAGTGCAGCTATTACTCGAGTAAATACGGTAATGGCTGGTCGCAAGTAGGCAAACCAGAGTGGAAAAGCTGCCGCCATCTATGAGCGACGGCAGCAACCAGATAGGTGGCTTGCCGCCGTCACTCAAAGATGGCGGTAGGTGTCCAGAGCTCGGTGTCTTCATTTCTTTGCGGGGGACACAATCCTTGGGAAACTAACAGCTTCGCTGTAAAAAATGATTGTTAAGGGTAGACCTCAAAAGTGCAGTGTCAATTATGGATGCAATTGGTCCGGGAAGGTGATTCCAGTTGAGGGATTTGCGAGGAAGGAAAGAAGATTGGAGTGTAGATGTGATAGCAATAGGCACCTCAACTTTGTGCTCATGATCGTGACAAGCAGCAATATAAAATGGACGAAGGATTAACTTGTTGCGAAGCGCAGAGTTATAAGAATAAAGTTTGTGAAATATCGAGAGGCGTGAAAGCTTACATCGCCGGAAGGGTGGCGGGAGTGACAAAGTTGATTTCATAGAAGTGACGCTAGATGTATAATGATAATTAGAAAGAATAAAACGAGCGGATCTATTTTGAACGCCTTCCAACGTGGTGATGAGAGTGGCTTGTCTGGGGTCCCAGACAGAGGCTGCATATTCTAACTTCGGCCGAACTAGCGTTTTATAAAGAATTGGCTCGAGGGAAACGGGCGCTAATGAAAAGTTACGCCTGAGGTAGCCTAACATACGGTTAGCATTAGATGCGATATACTGAACATGCGCTTTCCATGCGAGGTTAGAAGTTATATTTACGCCTAAATATTTGTAAGAAGATACCGTGTCAAGCTGAGCCTGATTAAGAAAGTAGTTCCGAGTTTCGTGTGACTGCCGAGATACACGCCGCATGTACTTACATTTGTTAGTATTAAGCGTCGTAGACCATACGTCACACCACTGGTAGATAGCGTTAATGTCAGACTGAAGTATGATGCTATCGTGATCATTATGTATCTCACGGTAAATCACACAGTCGTCAGCAAATAAAGAAATGGACGAGGAAACATGAAGAGGGAGGTCGTTAATATAGATTAAAAAAAAGTAAAGGGCCCAAAACAAATCCCTGGCGAAAAGGAAGAGTTGCCATTATTTGCTGTAACAAATTGTGACCGCAATGATAGAAAAGGTTGAATCCATGCAAGAACATTAGCATCTATGTTAAGCTTGGCCAGTTTCAGAAGTAGTAGTTTATGAGATACTTTATCGAACGCTTCGGAGAAATCTAGGAAAATCCAGTCTGCCTGAGATCCTCGGTCCAGGATGCAGTGAAGGTTGTGTGTGAATGGTACAAGCTGTGTCTCGTACGAAAATGTTTTCCAAAATTCACGTTGGGATGGGCAGAAGAACTCGTTAAATTCTAAGAAATTGACGAGGTGGGAAAATATTATATGCTCGAGGAGTTTGCGAGGAACACTGGTTATAAAGATTGGGCGATAATTTAAAGTGGAATGTTTGTCACCAGTCTTGTAAATGGGAACCACCTTCCTTACCTTCCAATCTAAAGGGAGAAGACAATGTCTAATGGACTGATCAAAAAGTTTAGTTAAAATAATAGAAGAGTAAGGCTTAGTATTTTTCAAAAGCTTGGAATTAACACCGTCCACTCCCGCTGAGGACGACAATGTTCCTACGACATGATCGACACCAGCACAATCAAGCAAGATGGGGTCCATCGGCAAATAGTCTGAAATGTCTAAGAGAGGACATTCCGTGCTGCGGTCACCAGAAAAGGATTCAGCGAGAACTCGGTTTAATACTTTCACACATTCTTCATTTGGCATAATATCCCCACGTTCATTGTTTAGACTAAGACTCACTTTTTTTGTTCATGATTTGTTTTGATTGTCACGTGCCAGTGTGGCGAGGAAACTGGGCGGAGAGCCGGACACATTTGCAGAAGGTGAATGCTTTTGGGTTACGACTCCTTGCATGCTGCAGCTCATTTTGTAAGCGCGACCCTCAACCCACGTGACCCCGATAGAGCAGTTGCCCCATCTCTTAAATCTAGGCTGTCTCTACTGACGACAAACAAGCTTGAGTGGCGACTCGGTGCCGTGCGTGCTTCTTTGTTTGCTTTGTGATCCGTGTCGGCGTCTGGGCGGTGAGGTCGCTCTTGCGTGAGAGTCTGCTTCGCTCAACCACCGATTCGGCAAATCATCGCCACTCAACGATGGAGAGTCCCAGCGTCGCCAGCACCTCGATGGCGAAGACGAAGACAATCTTCTTGAATGAAAAGCGTGCCACCCTCAACGAAGTGCGCATAAACGTAAAGAATGACGTCCACCGCCGATGTCCTCCGCAGGGCTGTCGCAGCTGTCGACACGGTCCGTACGTAGCAAGATCTTTTTTCGATCGGAGCTTCTCGCAGTTGGCAAGAAGCGGCTCTGATCTAACAGGGGATGCGTGCAGTGAAGCCTCGTCTGGTTTCTGCAGGCTCGACAAACGTGTGCCCGTGACAGACCGTGTTACCTTTTGCTTTTCATGTTATTTGTACGAGTTCATATATAACGAAGAAGCGGATATAGTGCAGCGATTTCCGATACCCGTTGACTTCGTTATAGCTGGTCTCGACTGTACGGAGTTTCAAAGGCACCATCTCGTTGAGGTTAACAAAATGGTCAGCTCTATCTGCTACTGTGAGGAGCCGCCAGAAGCCGGACGGCCACTGCACGTCCAAACCCGGACGAGCACGTTGGCACTTTCTTTTAGTTATCCGGTGTTTCCACTTCAAACACCTCTGCGAATGTTGGCAATGCCGACTAGGTGCTACTACGTGACCATGTGGTCACATAGTCGCGTAGTTCTTGCTGCTCACTGATGGCGCTAGAGAGAGCTTCACTGGAACCCTGTGCGCCCCCTTTCATGTCGCAGCGAACTTGACTCGGAAGATGGTGAAGGAGCTGAGAGCTGCCAAAAAACTCAATCTTTGGCATTTTTTTTAAAATAAAAACTACGACATGCAGGCAAAAGTGGTTTTTTGCTCTTTACCGTATTTACACGATTGTAAGTTGACTCGATTGTAAGTCGACACCCTCCCCCATTGCACATCAACAAAAAAAAAAAAAAAAAAAAAGAAAAGAAATCTTTACGTGCGCATTTTACTGAGAACACGTGAGAATGGCAAAGTATCTGTTTCGAAAGCCCAGCCTCCAACACGCGATCGATGTCTTCTGGCGGGCTTTGCCTGCACATGCACACTCGAGCTGCATGAGACACCCAGGCGTTACCGAAACTATAGTAGGTTACAAGTCAAGAAGGTAGCGGCCCCTCAAATGCCCCTCAAAAGGAATTGTATATCCCTCCGCCACCTCTGCATCCATTAGCATCCCATCGTTTCCATGACGTCGCAGCCAACGCGCGAGGAGTGTCTTGCCTCTCTGTACATATTTGCTCTATCTTTCGACTTTGACTTAGCGTTGTGGAAGCCACGAGAAGGAGATTAGAGTTTTCCCCCTCCGATGGAAACAAATACGACTTTCAAGGATTAGGTTCCCCCTCCGATGGATACAAAGGCCACTTTCAGGGGCTCGGTTCCCCCTCTGATGGATACAAAGGTTGCTTTCTTAAAATGTGGGATCGGAGACAAGTTGGAATTCATTAAAGCGGAACAAGAAGCGTTTCCAGTGAACTCTTCTTTCGACTGCGGAGGGATTTGAAACCGGCGCATCACGCTTGTGGGAGGAGCTTCTCCTACCTTCTTGACTTGTAACCGACTATAGGAAGTTCACGCTGGAAGCGGAACAACTGAAGCTGCTCCCTGTCGTCCTCACTCCGTCTGTGACTAGACTACGACTCATCCTCACTGGTGATGTCAGTCCCGTCGTCTTCACTGCTACATTCTCGAAGCACGTCGACGGCCTTGTCCAATGAAATCTCGCGCTTCGCAAATGACATAATCAACCGTATCTTCCGCGCTTGCTCGGCGATTGCATTGCACGTTTGGGTAGGGACCGATTGCACACTTTTGCGGCATCGTTGCGAGCCTGACTTCCAAACTCTGGAAGGCATCCCAAACTCGGGAAAGCATCCCCACTTATCCAGACTTTGGCCTGCGGAAGCCTCTTCGTTTGCCATCACGGTTAAGATCCTGCACCATTGCAGACTCCGCTGGAGCATCACCCGCTCCAACGGGTCGCACTTGCATCCAACTGCGCAGTCATTGGTTGCTTCTGGGTGAAGAATGGTCATAAACGAGCACTGAAAACCCAAAGTGCCCGGATCACGCGTGTCAATACAAAAAAAAACGTAGTTAGTGCTTCAGCATTATCGCGACATTCCATCAAACGACGTGCGACTGATTTGTGGGAAAAACTGCAAAAAGAAGCCACGAGGAGTGGGCTGTGAGGCCGCTCCAGCGGCTTTCGAAGTGGCTCTTACAAGAAGTGCCGCCACCCCCGGAAGTTGGGCACGCCGTCCGTGCACTGTTCGCCGCCGCATATTTGGGCCAATTTGCGAATCATAATCAATAATACTCGTTCGTGCAAATAAGAAAAAAAAAAAAAAAAAATTTTAAAATGAGCACACAGAATAGCGCAATGCTAAAGGTACAGCCGGTTGAACTTGTAACAAGCCGAGATGTTCTTGAAATCGCGATTGTTTTTTTTTTTTGTTGGCGGTGGAATGCTTTGGTTTGATTATAGGTTTGAATCAGATTTGAAAAAATTGAAAAAAGGGTCGACCCACATTCGTGTAAGTACGGTACTTTACGAGACACTAACTCCCACAATTATTTAAGCGAAGCACCGAAATTGTTGCACAGCTCCTTTAAGTTCTCCTTTGGGCAACATGGCGTCACGGTGTCAAGTTGCCGTGTCGTAGCATCACGTGGCACACTGTCGAGAAACTCAGAAAAGTCACGTTACACCGGGACTCGATGCTCAATGTTACTTGAGCTAGTAACATTGACACCAGGATGTCACGCGATGCCACGGGTTTGGAGTTACATCTGGCTGTGACGTAGTGGGACGCCACTACGTGACTCCTTGCTGGGGACACCTGCGCTATACTCCGTCTCAGCTTAGGTCCGAGCGCGGCCGATATTATGAGCCGATGGGCCAATCAAACAGCGAAAGAGGCACAACGTCATGTCTCTCTGCAGTTGATAGGACTAGCCGGCATTCGCCGTCTCGCTGTGCGTGCTCCTGTGCCGGCTAGTCCTATCGAGCGCAGAGAGCACGTCATGACGTTGCGCTTCTTGCGCTGTTTGATTGGCCCTTTGGCTCATAAGATCGTCCGCGCTTGGACCTAAGGTGAAAGAAGTATAGTAGGCGTTTAGTGAGCGGCGTCACACAAACCCTGAGCCAATTGTGTGTTGTACGGGGTTCAACTCTTTCATCTTGCATTTTTCTTTTTCCCTCCTAGCTGCGCGTTCCACGTGAAATATGAGGCAAAGTCAAAAAGTAATCGCAGTTTATTTTTTATTTGCGCGGATATTGTGAAAAGCCCTTAACTACTTTTCAACATAGTCGCCTCCTATCTCGACATTTGTGCACCAACGCTTTACCAGTGCATAGATGCCGTGGGAAAAAATATCTTGTGGCGACTCGGGTGCCAGGAATGCACCACCGTTTTGAGGTCATCATCTGTATCAAAACCCTTTCCCCCGAAAGCCCCTTTGAGGGTCTGAATAGGGAAAAATCGCTCGGTGCGAAGTCTGGCGAGTAGGGTGGGCGCAGAATACACTTGAACCGCAGTCCTTTGATTTTTTCCGCTCTTGTACGGCTGTAGGGCGCGCATTGTTGTGCTGCAGCAATGCTCTTGAGCCGAGCAATCTGCGACGCTTTGACCTGACTGCGGGCTTCAGGTGGTTCTTAAGCAGGTTGCAGTATGATGTACTGTTCACACCGAGTCTCTTGGGAATGTAATGAACTGCTGTTGTGGGTCCCAAAAGACCTTGAGCATTAACTCGCCCACCACTGTCTCGAACTTCTTGGGCTTTGGTGACGTTGTGTGTCCTTGCTTGCTCGCTTTGTCCGTGGCTGGGCGTAGGGTGCCCAGCATTCATTGCCGGTGACAATGCGTCAAAGAAAATCATCTCCCTCGACTTGGTAGCATCGCAGTAGCGTCTCGCAAGCATTCAGATGCCGCTCCTGAAGGTTCGGCGTAAGCTTTTTGGTACTTACCCGGTAAATACTTTGTGGTACTGCAGAATATCGTGAATGATATGGTGTGTCGAGCCGTGACCAATATTCAATTGTTCAGTTACTTCATCGATGGTGACACGCCGGTTCCCGTGTGTGAGCCGTTCCAGAGCAGAGATTGCATCCGGCGTTGTTGAAGTGTGAGCCCCTGCCGGAGCGAGGTGTGTCCGTCAAACTGGATGCTCCACTTTAAAACTTTTTGTGCCACTCGTACATCTACCGAAGCAATAGCTTGAGCCGCCAAATGCCGACCTTTTCTTCACCGAGATGTTGAGCCTTCACAAAGGCCTATGCTGGGGAGTAAGATGCAGTAGCACCTAATGTGGCAATAACCTGTCTTGCTTTGGCATTGATGAAGTGAAGAACACAATAAGAGGAAACTAAAATTGAAGGTCGGTTATGGCGGTGCCCATGCACAGCTGCCTGAAAGCGTCTATGCACAGGCGTCTCCGTGCCCCTTCAGCATCCTGCGATGAATATCTGCAGGTTTTGCACCCTCTGCGCCCAAAAATAGGATAACCGAACGGTGCTCCTCCCTGGTGCGTGCTAACGAGGGGGTGGCCATTTTGAAAGTTCTGTGGTCGCGTGACATTTCCCATCAAGTCAACTGGCCGGCGTGCACAGCTCCCTCTTGTGGTGGTCAAAACTTATTTCAAGTGCAGCAGCCTATCGCTAGATTTGATTTTCAATTGCAGTTCCTTTCTGACTCTGCCTCGTATACCGAACCAACTAGGCCCTACTATTTCGTCTTTTTGTGACGTCGGGAAGTTCGTCACATAACTGTATCAATTCACTCGAGCATCTCTTGGTGCAGAATTGCATTCTAACGGAATTGGATTTTTCGTTGGTGGCACGTTGCACCACTTGACACGAGGTTGCTCGCTCCCATGCCACGAAAAACCTTCTTTGCTCGTAGCTTGCAACAGATTACGCCGTAGAGGCTACAAACACGGTGTGCTGTCGTCGTACGTCCAGGTGCCAGGAGGGGCCGTCCTGTCGCCCCTGCGGCCCCCGTCCTTGGAGCTCCGTCCGAGCACCTCGGTGTGGCGCCAACTGCACTTCTCCCCTCCGCTCCCCCGAGTTGCTCCCCCTCCCGCGATGCCGGCCCCCCGGGCGCTGCTGCCGACGCCGCACCCGTTGCACCAAATCGGGGCGGTGGGCGTGGAGCGCAAGATGGCCGCCAGGACGGACGCCGCCTTCTCGGTGCCTTCGGTGGAGGTGGAGGTCACCAACCTGGACCCCAAGGTCGAGACGGACGAGCTCGAGAAGATCCTGCTGGCGCTCTTTCAGGAGCACGTCCCGGTGAGCGAAACCCCCGCCTGTCACTCGAGCAGGCTGTCTGCCGGTCAGGGGGAGGACGGGAGCAGAATGCAGCAAACCCCAAGCGCTTGTACCATGCAATCCACTTATAACGATCATCAGAAAACCCCCAAATTCAATGTTATAAGTGATTATCGTTGTATCTGGACCACAAACGGAGCGTTTATAGTCTACAGACTGATTGTTAAAACCAGTACATCGTTATTATCCGTGGTCCCGGAGAAAGAATGAGAGCGACGGAAGAGTGGAAAAAGAAAACAAACAATAAGTTAGGCGTGTTTGTTTTGCCACGACAAGTTCAAGTCGTTCGAGGGCTCTTCTTCAGTTTGATTTATTTTTATCCTATTAGCCCTTCTTTTTTTTTATTTGCTCATTTTATTTTTAGTTATTTATTTTCACCTAAAACCTGTAACCGGCCCTTTTGCATTCAAACAAAAACATTGACCCGTTCATACCAGCTGTACTTGTAGCTGAGTGGCATTAGCACCGCACCGACCCAGGTTAGAGCCTCGCCGGGGTCCTTCATACATCATCTCGACATCTGTCAGTCGGTCATGACTCTCCTTAAGACACTTTATATACATTCCTTGCAAAAATCACTTTGTCCTTTGGCGGGAATCGAGCCAACAAATTCTTGCTCAGTAGTCGCAATCTCTACCCCCGTACTACCAAACTGGCTAGAGAAGGTGTTGTTTTAGCTTCCATGTATGGACTCGAGTGGTTGCTAAACATTGTAGCGCCAATTGTTTGCGGTCACGAGCCACGGCAGTCGATGAGCTGCGGCGGCTCATCACTATACTGAGATGCTTGACAAGAAGACTGATTACAAGCATCTCAAAGCGCGGGAGAAAAAGTTGAAGGTGATGATGGACGAGGATCAAGACTGGAAAGAAGACGAAAGAAAGAAAAGGGGAGCAACAGGTAACTTGGCACAAAGCGGATGCAGAATGTGTCTCGTTACCTGACAGATTACTCTGAAAGAGGGCAAAAACAGCTCAAAACAAATCAAGGCAGGTAACCTGTCGGCTTTTTGTATCCGAGTAGCGTTTGTTCTTACGGGGGGAGTTTATTTGGCAACACAGGCATCCTATCCAGCCAGAAAAAAAACTTCTGCCGCGAGTCCCCTCTTGGCTGCTATTCACGAGTGTCAGACCGGAAAGCCCAACCACAAGTCCGGCTTATGTTCTGGTTTTGGAGCTCATTTGGTGCGCTCTTCGGCAGGTGGCAGCGCTGCCAGTGTTGCTCAGCTCCCTTAGAGTTATTTTGAGGAGTGTGCGAATAGCCGGTTGTCGAACCAGAACCGAACCAAAAACCGGGACCGAACCTTTATTTTTAGACAAACCGGAACTGAACCGAACTGAAATTTTTGCCGCCATTTCGGAACTTGACCAGAACCAAGTTCCCCAAAAAAGTATAACGGTAACCGGTTCAAAACGTTTACGGTAATTTTTTTTTTTTGTTAATGTTAAAAAATTTATATTTGGGAATAAAAAATTGACAGGCGTATTTGTATGTGTCGATCGAATCGTCATATACAAAATTGCTATTTATGAAAAATTGTGGGGTTCAGTGGCATTTCTTCGGCTTAATAATGCTGTCTCAAGGACACGCCATGCGAGTCTCCAGTGGCACGCGATTGGCCTTTTATAGTATTTAGTGGCGCTTTTGTATTGGCAGTGCTATGATTAACCATGTGTCGCATGGTCACGTGACGTCATGCTGTCGAGACACGTTGTTGAGTAATGTCACGTCGCATGACCCCGTCACGTCACGTGAATCACGGTGTTAAGTTGATTTAAATTGAAAACGTCCCTAGATTTATTCACGTTGTTGACATCGCAACGTAACATGACATAACGAATTTTCACAGAGAATCACGTGACACCGTGATGTACGCAATTTTCATGACCTCGAGTCAAGTGCTCAGGTTCGTGACAATCAGCATTGTTAAGCATTCGGGTAACGACTCGATTTCAGTTAAAGATGATAACAGCCCAACTCTAAGAACATCTGAAGCTCAGCCCAAGTTCCTTGCTTTCCAAACCCCAGCGCATGACTATGAAGAGCACTGGTGGTACAGTGTAGACCGCATATAACGTATGTCGCGGGAGTCGCGAAAATTCGCACTATAAGCGGTACCGCGCTATAACCAAAACATCAATTTTTCAGGCCAAAATGCATGCCATCAGACAACTTACCTTTGTAAAAGAATTTATTTTATGTTAGAAGAAAAATAAAGCTTAGTTTGAGGAAAGTCTTTATTTCACCAGACTAGTACACTTCTCTCTCAAGTGTGTCACACATTTTGAAAGAAATGAGCGACTTTTGCCTGGACGTTGCGAGCGTTCAGGATTGCTAACCCTAATCACTTTTCTCCGGCGATGAAAACGCGTGAAAATTCGCATCCTTTATACGGTACGCACCAGTAATACCTTCAACTTGAGCACAGGCATGAAATGCTCCAAATAAGAAATCTGGGCGATGTTCGAAGACACAAATGTTTAGAAAGCACCACTGTAGTCGAAGTAAACAAACTCGGGCGTTTCTGCAGTCTTGAGAGTGCCGCCACAACATCGCCGCACGAGTAGGTGGATCTTCCCTTCTAGTAAGTGCTGGGTTATCATAGCGACACACAACGAAAATTCACAGTCAAGGATAGCGCTTTTACGTGGAACGATGAGCTTCTACCACGCCGTCTTCGTCGACGATCACAACCGACGCCATGTTTGCGGATAGAAGCAGCCGGCCTGCGATTGGCGTGCAACGCGTGCGAACACTTCTCGACATGCGATTGGTCTGTCGTTGCGGTTGTTTTCCAACGCAGCGGAGGGACGCACGCACGTGAACAACATGTGCGTGCGTCCCTCCGTCGCTATCGCAACTGAAGCCTCTCTCTTCGCTTCTCCCCGCTTCTTTGAGCAACCTCCTTGCCATCCTTGCCCCCGCGAGTGCCGATTGCGGCTAGCGCCGTTATCTAGTGTCGCACAGGGAAGTGTACTCGCTGCGTTGGTCGGTCGGCGGGCTGTTCAAGAAACCGCACTATAACCGGTATTTCCCTTCGCGCGCCTGCATTTTAAGCGGTATGTAATTACATGGAGTTCTATGGGAGGCGAACCGCTGCTTTAAAAAACCGCGTTATACCCGGTCCTGCACTATAAGCGGTTACATTGTAAGTGGTCTGTACTGTAGTGCCTTGCTTCAGGTTTCGCCTTCGTGCCTTGTTTTTTGTTACGCCTTCGTTTGCATTGGGCAACTTTCTGTTAGCTTGAGAATCGCTGCGCTTCTTAGCGACACGTTGCGGTGGCGGAAGAACAGATGGGGCAATGACGTCCAAGCGAGCATAGTCTGAAAACGCAATTCATCGAGACGAGATCGAGATCAGAGGCGCGAGTTCATGACTGCAATAGCGAATGAACGAGGCAAAATGGAAACAACAATGATAATGATAATGGCGCGCAGCTGGAGAAAAAAAAAAAAAGAAAGCCGTATAGTGTCATGCAGCAGTAGGACTCTGCCGTATGTAAGTGGCGCTGCCAAACCGAGCCACTTCTCGGTGGCCGATTGCTCGTGACGATTTTGTGTGAAAGATCAAACTTTTGGACTCGAAGCTGTCTGAAACCTTGGTCGTGAATATGCACTGTTTCTATTGGGTAGGTCGCGGTTCATCCTTTAGGTCAGAAATAAAGAACAAATTACATTGCGCGCGGTGCAGGTATCTCCACTTTTTGCTCTTTCCGCATTGCAATCCCGTCATTCTCACGGCTGGTTGGCTGCTTGGCAACAACCACGAGGTAGCATCGCTGTTTGCCAAAGTTTTTCCTGGTGAGGTTTAGTCTCCGCAATTGCGTAACTTGAATGTTGTGGGCAAGGACTTGAACAGCGGCTGGGTAGAAATTGAAAGTCGTGGCTTTGGCGTTGGGGGGGTTTACACGCGCCCCCGTTACAGTCTATGACTTTTGCGAAATGTGTGATTATAATTCTTTTAGCATAGATGATCTATGGTACAGGTTCAAAGCAATTGTAAATCATTGCATTATCCAGTTCGTCCCCAAAAAACGTAAAGTTATAAGGAAACATAACCCATGGATAACCTGTGAGATTATCCACCTGAAACGTCGAATCAAACGCCTTAGAAAGTCATCTAAGAGGGATTACGTTACAGACTCTAGAACAACAGATTACAAAACAAAGCTTTTGGAACAATCGAATGTGCTTAAATGAAAGAAGCTAAACAAAAGTACAACAGCGTAACCCTTTGCGAGTTTCTGCAAGCATCCCCCCAAAAATTTTGGAACCAGTTAAACCCCAAAAAGTCAAAAACCACTTGTCTGAGACCCTCAGAGAAACAGAGAATGGCTGATGAATTGAGCAGCTACTTTGAGTCCGTTTATACGACTGACAACGGCAACACAGTTTCCTTTCCAACTCCAAATAAGGACTCTGAAGGCCGAGGAAGCCTACCAGTCACCGAGCCAGGTGTTCTAGCATTATTGCTTCAACTGGACACACACAAAAAGTAACGGTCCTGACGAAATTCCAAATATGTTCCTAAAACGGTATGCCGAATGGATTAGTAAGTATTTACCGCTAGTTTTTAACAGGTCTCTCAGCTGTCCTCTGTGCCAACTGAGTGGAAAATGGCATAAGTTGTACCTATTCACAAATCCGGCGAATACTCCTTGGCCTTAAACTATAGACATATATCTCTGACATGCACGTGCTCTAAACTTCTCGAACACATCATCCTTAAATTCATGACGGTATTGATTAATAAACGCAATATTTTATGCTTGCAGCAGCACGACTTTAGGAGCGGACTGTCAACTGTTACGCAACTGGTCGAGACTATCCATGACTTTGCGACGGGATGAATGAAAGAAGCCAGATTGATGTAATATTTTTAGACCTATCAAAAGCGTTTGCCTGTGTTTCACACGACAAACTTGTTAACAAACTTACACAGATCATGGGTGAGGGTCCTATAGTATCGTGGATAGAAGATTGCCTAAGAAATCGGTTTCAGTTTGTATGTTATGAAGGACACGTCTCTCGACCAGTTAAAGTACGGTATGCTGTCTCGCAAGGCACCGTTTTGGCACCACTCTTGTCTCTTGTCTATATCAATGACATTTTTAAGGGTATCGATGCAAATATTAATTTTTTTTACCGACGACTGTATTATCTATCACGAGATAACAAGCCAAGCCGACCAAATTCAACTAAACGAATCACTAAAATAGACAACCGATTGGTGCGACAATTGGCAAATGGCTCTAGATTTTGACAAAACCGTTTCTTTGTGCCTAACGAGGAAAAAGAAGAATATTCTCGAGTTTTCATACAGTGTTCATGGTGTAGACTTGCGCAGAGTCACAGAATATAAGTATCTTGGCATCATTTTAGCATCCAACCTGAGCTGGAACGCGCACGTTAAATATATAACGAACAAAGCCCTGGCAAAACTATTCTTTCTGAAGAGAATGTTAAAGCGTTCAACTCCTGAAATAAAGCTTTTAGTATATACCTCTCTTGTGCGTCCAGTACTAGAATACGCAAATATATCCTGGTTTCCACATACGCAGAAAAATATGTTTTATAGAAAATGTCCAAAGAAAGGCGATCAGATTTGTTTACCACAAATACAATCACTTCGGTTCACCGGCAGAACTACTAAAGAAAGCTGGTTTATTGACTATCGCTGATCGTGTAAGACTCAGTCCACTGAAGTTTATGTTCCTCCTTTTAAACGATGCATTTAAAATAGATAAAAACAAGTATGTTAAGCGAGAGCCGCTGAACACAAACATAGTGACACACTCGGTGAGTATTCCTTCAATAACAAGAGTTTTAAACACTCATTCTTTCTTTCATCCATAAGGGACTGGAATAGTTTAGATAATCACTTTTTTTAGTTATATAGGTGTTGAATTATTTAGTGATGCAGTTGAAAAACAACTACTTTGTCAATTCTTGAATTGATATGTTTTTTCGATTACAAAAATGACGCAATATTTTTCTGTTCCGTATTTATTGATATTTGCCTCTTGATGTATATTTATATTTTCCCAATACCTGCAAAAATCCCAATGGGATTGGCAGTATTTTTAAATGAATAATTAAACGCCAAGAAAAATAAAGTCATGTGACCCCCACCAACAGAAATGATGCGTCACTGGAGCATCATGTGAGCCCCGGTTGATGCTGTGCCAATAGCAACCCCCGTAAAATGCGGAGCGTGTGCCCCCACCCCCCCCTCATTATTTTTTTATTTATTAAAATTCATTACTTTTGCGGCTGCCGTCTGGAATGTTATTGTTGAACCCAGTAAGGGCCCCCTCCCTGTTTTGATTCTCTAAATTTGGGGGAGGTGGGGGCTTGCTCATTACTTTACAGTATACATCACCCCATGCTCGTTCTTTGCTAAATGTCTAAACGTAGTGCTAGCAGTCCCAACCAGATGCCAAAGTTTGGGAACTAACCGTGATCTCTATTAAAAATTACGAGTGATTTTTTGAAAATTTCGGTGGAAAATGGGGCTCGTTTTTGTCCGCGTTCTTTAAGGATCGCCGTAGGTCTCCGTGCATTGAAGAGCCGAGTCGGCTGCAATTTTCATATAGAAAATTTGATAAAACCACTTTGCAATAAGATAATGTTTAGTTCCGAAACTTTGGCATCTTGTTGGAACCGCTACATTGGGGCAGAGAAGGAGGAGCGTTTGGCGACGCATAGTTTACTTTTGCGGCGAAAGAGCCCCGTAAATTATTTTTGGGGACGCCGCATACGTCCACTTCTCAATAGTGATACGAGTTAGGACACGTGCTCCTACTGGAATGATTTCAGGGTAGAAGCAAAGGTCTCCACTCACCCCTGGAATGCGAACGCCAGGTGCCGGAGCTGCGTGTTGGAATGCGTTTGAAGAGTGAGAGCCAGCTTTGCGTCTGCCCAGTCCAGCTCGGTGCTCCGACGTCCCCTCTCCTCCCCAGATTCTGCCCGTATAGGGAAGTGCTCCGCAATGTTCCAAAATACAAGTTTTTGTTTCCTACCAGGGTGATTCAAAACGAAATATTTTCTGCTCCAAATTCAAACCTGGCTGGAACACCCCCGCATAGTCTTGGTGAAATGAGTGTCCGCAAGTCGAGCGAATGTTTCCCTTTATTCTTGTGCAAATCCTTGGTTTCAGAAACACCTGTTTGCGGCTCGTTAATCGAGGAAAAGGGAGTGGACTGGAAGCAAATGCGGAGGTTTCTAGGAGCCCAGCGTGATAAGCCGCGGATGGACGGAGGAAGGACGTTTGGCTCTGCCGTTTCTCGCAGGTGCTGCGCATCTCGTTGGCCGTGCAGCCGGACGGGACCCTGAAGGCCCTGGTGCGGGTTCCCTCGTCCCGCGACGCCCACCACGTGGTGGCACGCCTGCACCACCACCGTCTGGGAGAGCGCTGCCTGCGGGTGGCCTTTGGCACACCCCAGGTGCAGTCCGTTCCGGTCGCCCAGGTCTGTGCCGTTTCTGAAATGCATGCTCTTTTGCGTCTGAGCCTGGGATGTAGGCCCGATGGCATAGAGGTTGCACAGACTGCTCTCGGGGCGGCGACTTTCCCGCGCTTTCGGCAGCACCGAAAAGGGCTGCACATACTACCTTTGCTCGCAGGCTTAGGGCACCACCGAGGGGGCGTGGGACCGACAACGGCGGGTTAAGAGGGAGTGGCGAGGGAAGGGGCTGCAAAACATGAAGATGGTTCTCATTACGTGGAGCCCAACTGGCGGTGCATGTGTCCACAAACAATCCATTCGATGTAATGCTTGCAAAGGGCTGTGGTTTTGGGTGGACGTGAGCAAGGGCATTACAAGTGCTACGCTTTTGGAATGTGCCAAAGAGACAACCTGTTTTTTTTTGTGAGGCTCGACAGTGCTTTTTGTGTGGCTGCCGCAATGTTTTCTGGATTGTTGGTCCAATTTCATGAATAGCAACTTTCCCCAGCATCTTGACGTTGCAGCATCTACAACTTTGTCCCCCATGTTCTCACGCAGCAACCGCTGCAGCGCCACTGCACTGCATTTTGTTGTCATTATCACAATATTCTTTGGCAGTGTTTGGGCACAGACTCCGTTTCACGATAACTGGGTGAACTGTGGAGGCTGTGGCCCCCGCCACCCAACCGGGGCGCCGGAGCAAGGCACATGATAACACTCCACGGTCGAGTCCACCGGGGCCTCGTTACCGCCGCAGCAACGGAGCCCTCCGAGACAAAAAATAGTTCCGGGCTTCTTTTTCTTTCAACGGCAATTAAACTCGCGTGATTCCATGTATGACGAGAAGATACTAAGAATAAAGAATCGCAAATTTATGAGTTATCTATATTTAAGTCAAGAAAGTGACGCCACATCTGTATCCGCTTGATTTTTTTTCGCCTTGTAGCGCCGTGGCCGTTGGGCATCGCCGGTGATCGCAGCCATGTAATCGGCCGTTTCCGCTCGGATTGTTGCACTGTGCCCTGGCATTAGCAGTTGTCACAGATTGGCGGCTAAATGGAGCGTATGGTCGTCTCATGAACTTTTCCCCAAGTGTTCGCTATTCTAGTGGACGGGTGTGTTGCTGCAGTGAACGCTCGTCGAAAAATGGTTGGCTAGCACACGACAGCCGGTTCCTCTGGGCCTCACGCCTCGCATTTGGTGATGCTCCCACGATGTAAGGTCACGTACCTCGCTCCGACGCTCTTATTCGGTCGCGGGGCCCTCACCTCCACAGTTTGCCAAGTTATCCTGAAACGGAGTATAACAGATTTTCTGAAATCATTAGCTTGTGCAAACAATCTACATCAGACTAAAACAAAGTTAGAGGGGCCGTGAAACGAATTTTGGGCTGGGATGAATGATTTTAGATTAGGACTTTACTAATCGCATATCGTTTAGTGGGCCAAACGCAAGAAGGTAGACAGTCCAAAGCAAGCTGTTCGTTGCAAGCATTTGAAAATATAGCGGTCTGTTTCGTACCTCCTTTCCTTCGAAAGCCTTTTCACTACGATACATCCGCGGTACCCAAAAGCACGTCAGCCGGCCCCGGCTCGCGCATTTGACGCGAGAACTGCGTCACTCGGACGTAAGTGCTCGTCAACAATCAATCCATCGGCGAATATTTGGATTTGCATTCGTGGCCAGTGAGTGCCCCGACAGAACTTATCACTTCTGAACGACAAGTTGTTTGGTGTGCTTAAAAAGCATGTTAGAAGCTTGCAGTCATCGCACCCGTGCCCATGCATGTCACGACCACTCGATTTCTCAATTCGCTTTTGAGTTGAGGATTAAAGGGATACTTCAACGAAATTTCGGCGCTCATTTTTTGGTCTATTTGTGTTCAAAGGAGCAGCGTCACATCGAACATACCAATATCTTGTTAAAAAAGTCTCGAAAAGGAATTTTAAAGCGGATTAAACGATTAGCAAAGAGCACCTGGTGGATGTCGCTAACGCCTCGCTTGTAATGCCTGTCTAGGACCCTTGACAGCTAGTGACGGAGGTTGTCTCGCCTCCGGCCACGACGAGAGAAGAGGGGAAGGAGGAACTCCCCTCTTCTTGAGAATGCTTTTTGTGTGTCGCAGAAGTCGCTATTGTCCCCCTACAAGATTATAGAAGATTAACCCGTCACTCAAAATTCGTACACAAGCAGCCGCTTCGGCGGCTGGAACGACTAGGCCATCCTCTCGACGTCAGCCTCGCCGTAGCTTTGCTCGTCCCGAGACGACCTACGTCACGATTGTGCTGGATGTCACGTGGTCCCCTCTTGGCCTTCTCCGAGCTCTTGCCAGAGTGGGCCGTTTGTAACAAAGAATACAGTCACCAGGCTCAAAATACAAACGTTCCATTGTTATTTACGGATATTGTGGATCATATTCAACCTATTTTTGAACACGACGGGAATATTTCAAATATTGTTGAAGTATCCCTTTAAAGCTAAGGAGGAAGAAGTTTAAAGATCATTTCATGGCCTCCTAAAGTGAAAAGACTGAGTGCGCAGGCGAGCTGGCGGTAGCTAGTCATGTCGTTCAACACCCGAGACTGGTGAAGAAAATGAAGAACTTTTAGTCGAAGGAACAGACACCGAAGGGAATGTCTCAAGCTCGGCCAACTGGTTTATTTCTCAAGCAACCTATATATACCCACTCAGAGATCTCCTTTGGTGACAGCCTTTTCAAATACAAAGACAATACACACTCACAAGAGACCAGGCAGTCAAATCCACACAGAGATCATTTCAGTGATGTGATTGCTGCGCCAATTGCGCCAAACTGCGCCTAGGGGCTAACCCTGCTACATCCTGCGACATTTTGCCAAAATATGAGTAATCTGCGCCAAGCCTGCGCCAAAGGACCGATTTCGGTCGCCTTTCAAAACCGAAACTAAACTGAGTACCGTAATTGAGCATGCATGAGCTAGGTGGTGCATCTGGCCGCCCGACACAAAGAACCCTGTATCAATCGTCCGTCCGGTTTTGCATGGCTTTTGCCGCCGTCCCATGTTTCGCGCTCTCGTCATCTCGTTGATCTCGTCTGGTGCGTCTAATCTCGCTTCGCGTCGCTTTTAAATTTTTTCTATGATAGATGCGTGGGTGTGTGTTGAAGCTCAGACGCAAGTGTGCCGGGTTCCAGCCATGCCGTCATGCTGTGAAACGAAACCACGTTTTTGCGCGGCAGGATTTACTTTGTGAGCCGAAACACTCGCTCCTGAATGCAGTGACCATGGGAAAACTATATTTGGTCCTTGCCTGCCAGTCATTGTGGTCACGCGACGTCGGTTTTTGCCGTCCCCACGTCGCTGCAGATATGGCGCTTTCTAAACTGAAAAATAAGTACTGCCGCATGTTCATCGACATTCCTGTTCTTGTTTAAACCATACGCTACTGCAAATATCCATACTTAACTCAAAGACTACTGTGTCAAAGTATTGATTACCTAGGTTTCTCTCGGTGGGCTTTCTTTTGAGAGGAACCCCGGTACATGAAAAATCCGTCGCGAAAGAAAGTTGGTGAAGTGAGCTAAAGCAAATGAGGCAATGTCTGCATGCTGAACACGCACAGCGCGCTTGCTTGTTTCGAGTTGAGTCGTTGCACAAAGAGCTCCAAGAACTTTTTGACCCTGACTCGCGATGTCTTGCATGGATGTGCTCAGGTTCTTTTTTTCTGTTCGTCTAGCTTGTACCTTGCCTCCCGTCCTGGCAGGCATGCGCCACTGGACTGTTTTTTGTCGTATGCTGGACAGTTACATTTTGCACACAATTTTGGGAACCAGTTGGTGACGGAACGGAGTGCCATGGTTTCGGTCAAACAGCCCTTGTCTCTGCTTGCACGACAAAGCACGTCCAACTGCAAACCTGTCGAAGTTGCCCTCACGTGCATGCGAACATGATTGCACGACAGAGGCACCAGCCGGGACGCCTGCAATCCATTGTTTTACGTTTGCTTACTTTGACGAAAATCTGGCACGTCAGGGGTCCTCTCGACGCCGCCCTGTGGTCTGATCTTGTAGCCTTGGACGTCCTCCGCCATCCTCGCGTCCCTGTGTACGCACGGCACGGGCCGCTTCTCGTTGCTGGTTTTCCCGTGATGTTGAGCGGTCAAGGGAGGGGTTTCAAGGGGTGGTAAGTACGCCCAAAAAACACAGTATGGTACACAAAACGAGGCGTCCTCTTCCCTTATGCCTCATCCTGTGTACTTCTCTTTCTGTCTGTGTGTTTTTTTGGTGTTTTTACCACCATGCATAAGTAGCAGCTAGCCCAACTCGCAGTAGTAATGTTCAAGTTGAGAGATGAGAGGGGAGTGGAGAATGGAGGCAAAGCTTTGTGGGAAAGGCAGCTGCGAGGTCACCAGTTTTAGCAGAACTGCTTTAGCTTTTGAGTTCAAGAAGTGGAGATGCTATAGTGAAATGAAACGCTGTGCAAGCTTCTAAAATGATCCAGCAGAAATCAGGGGTGGAACGGCTGCGCCATTTGCGCCATTTTGCGCCAGACGCATATATCTGCGCCATTCTGCGCCATGTTGCAGAAACTGCGCCACAACCAATGCGCCAGTATGCGCTAAATCGCAAAACGTGCCCCCAAAAAATTTTATTTTTTGTCCTGGTTTCGGTTTTTATCGACTCGATTGGCAACAATGAGCACGTTTAGCTTGGTCGGCCTTGTAATCCTTTGTTCTGTTTATTCTCCCTGTGTATCCCGAGTTGGAAGCGCGTGAAAGAACTCGGATTCTAAGCGCCACACGACCTGCGACTGGATTGTTATTCTTCAACCATAAGCGGTCGGCCTAGGTGAGGTCGAGTCGTTCAGCGTCAGATTGCCTGAAGCTCTGTGGCCCGGGATCCAAACGTTAGCCTTCATCGTTGTTGGAACCGCATTCTCTCAAGATAAATTTTGATTTGATAGAGCTGCACGCGGTCTGATCCGAAACCTTGCTGGCCAGCAGCCCTCACGCGAGCGCTTCAGATACGATAACTCCGTTAATCATAGTCTGCTGCTTCGATATTGAGTTGCACAACTCGAAATTTGTTTCCCTGTTCCTCCGCGCTACTGCACGCCCGTCGCTTACGCACGCCACGTGGTTCGCAGATATAATTACTATGTTGAGCACGTGTGGGTTGTGCGATAAGCAGTGCTGGTTTGCATTTTGAGCAGCTGAAAGCCACTCGGAAATATCAAGGACGCTATCTTCAGAAACATATGGTACTTGCTTTTTGGTTCTCATTAAGGCTCACAAAGTTTCAAGTTTTCGCATCTGTTACACTGTTATCCCATCTACCTAGGTCCCTAACCACTCATGTTCATCCATGCTGCTTAGCACAATTGAAATTGCTCCCGTGCTTGTCTAAGGCACAAGCTGAAGTGCAATGAAAACTGAACTGAGCTGCTCCTAGCCTGCTCCAGAACGCAGTTTTAGCTGCTCCCAACCTGCTCCTAAACAGCTGTTTCAGCTGCTCCCGTGGCTGCTCCCAAGCGCAGTTCATGAGTTCCACCCCTGGAAATGCAAAACAGCAGTTTGTTCTGTCCTTCACCAGTCGTCTTCTTGTTGGCCGTGTCCGGTACTTCTACATGCAACCAAACAGTTAGTCCCGTGTCTGAGGGAATCGCTCCTGCTGTGCAATCGATGCTAACAAAAGCCTACACATAAGTGAGAAGGCAAAGTAGATATTGCCTTTTAGCTGGACAGGCTCACACATGAATCTAGACACTATGTTTTCAGTGATACGAATGAATATGAAGTGTGCGCTTATGCTTCAAAATTCCCTCTTGACTACTCCAAGAGCTGCTCCAAAACGACTCGAACCAATCACATCACTGCTTTGTGTATATAGTTTTCGTGGTTACCATAACATTATTATTCCGATTCTTTTCAAACAATATATTTTTTCTCACATCCACCGTGTCGGAATCTCGAGTCCATACTTACCGTCACACATGGCCTCTGAGGTCCCGAAGCGCGTGCGCGCTAGTACGCAGCTGACGACAAAGGGAGTGCATGAGCAGACGACAAAGGGAGCGGACGAGCGGCTTGCATGCTATTGCATTCGCAACTCGTAAGAAATGCTTAGGTGTGCCTCGAGCTTTTTTTTCTTCTGATGCGCAATGTGGGGGGGTTGACGTAGAGTCGAGTCGACTTACAATTGTGCGAATACGGTATGTGTGCAGACTGATGCCGCAGTTTGGAGACGTCGTCGAATGTCGTAGACACCAAAACATGGTGAAGGGTGAGGGGGCAGGCGAGAACATTGATGCAGACAACACCTGTGCCTAGCACACGTCTGCGCAATGGTGGGCCGCTGGCCCATCCCAGTCCCGCCCGTTGTGACATAGTGGATCACGTGAGATCTCGTACCACGTGATCGTTATGTTTTTGGTGGCCCGAGGCCAATGTTGCCAGACGGCGTGGAAGTTTCAGTTTCGATTTCTGCTCATGTATGAAGTAAGATTTAGCAATATACTGTAAACGACTAAATTTTCGCGAGGACCTAATTTTTGCGAATTTCGCGAATCGCCTACAATTTGCGAAAAATACGTCTCGCGAACGATTCGGGCAATATGTGAACGCTACGGAAGCTACACTCGATTCGCGAAAGTTAGAACATGCAAATAATTTCAAATTTTCAGCTGTGGCCCGATTCGCGAAAAGTTGACCCCGCGAAAATTAAGTCATTTACAGTTATCCCATTTTTGGCGAAACAATTGACATAGTGCTTTTAATGTGAAATCAGTCATTATCTCGAAATTTTAGCCCTTAAAAATCAATTTAGCGCTAAAAATCAATCTTGAGGTGGCAAAAAAGTTTGGGGCACATCTGTTTGGGAGCCGCTCCTGGAAGGTCCGCTGAGCTGAACGTTTGTCCCTTAGGCTCTCGAGAGGCCTTACTGCGAGGTGCACGACCTGCGGCTGGGGCCCTCCCCGACGCAAGGGGAGCAGCAGTGGGCACTCTGGACGGCCATGCCCGGTCCGCTCCCGGAGGTGTGCCTTCCCCTGGACACGCTGGCCACCCGTGTGGAGCGCCTCCTCGACAGCCACGCCGGGTCTCTGCCCCTCGACAGGCAAGCCCCTTCTGCCGCCTTGCCCCCACCAGGAGAACGCAAAAGGGCTCTTATCAGCCTGATTTTGGGAGAAAACCGTGACCAAGCACTGTACGTGGCACCATGATGTCGCGTGACATGACGTTGTGACATCATTTGGCACTAGGACGTTGCACGGCGTCATGGGGTCATCTGGCGTCGTGATACCATCTGACGTCGTGTGACGTCAGTCATGTGACCTCGTGTGGACAGACGTCACAAAAAGACATTGTCTTATTTCTTTTTTCTACCGCATAACTCCTCCTTACCGCACCGAACTTGGTGCATTAAATGTTTTCCTCTCCCTCTCTCCTTCTGCCCTCTGCTTGATGTCACTATGCTGATGACATCATGGTGTTTGCAGCAGTTGGTGTGTGAACATGGTACTGCGACAGTGATCGGTCCTAAGAGAGAAAACTCTCGAGTCATTGTTTTGACGTAACACTGCGATGTCGTGGTGTGGCGCGATGTGACCTGGGCGTGTCACAAGGTCATGCGATGTAAGGTCGCATGGCCGCATCCTTTCCTGATGGACACGTGACACTGGGACATCACATGTTGTTTTGGTGTCTTGGGATGTGACCTGACATCACGCCATGTGATTAACCGCATGTCAGCTGACACCGCGAAGGGATGCGACGTCATGTCACGTGACATCATGATATCATATGACTTCACGTGACACTTGTTACGTGATGCAAGGTAACACGACTACTTGCTTTCCTCTAAGTCACATGGCGGGATACAGGTGCGTGACAGCAGCCGCGTAAATCCGGGGGGGGGGGGGGGGGAGGAGAGGGAGGGAGGGAGGGAGGGAGGGAGGGAGGGAGGGAGGGAGGGAGGGAGGGAGAGAGAGAGGGAGGGAGGAGGAGGAGGAGGAGGAGGAGGAGGAGGAGGAGGAGGAGGAGGGAGGGAGGGAGGGAGGGAGGGAGGGGAGGGGGAGGAGAGGGAGGAGAGGAGGGAGGGAGGGAGGGAGGGGGGAGGGGGGACTAAATGCGTGATGCCTGACGAGGTCTCTGCCCCCCTACAGCTCTAGCACAGCATTGTAAAATAGTGCAAAACATTCACACAAAAACTGCCGTCAAGACAACATGTTGTAAGCACAGGTAGATAAAAACTAGTAAAACAAGCAACTGCACAACAGTCTTGTCAGGAAAGGTTAAAAGTCTGAGCGAAATAAATACTAAATATCAAATATGAATATGATTTATGAAATTGCATAGATTTCCCAGCTTCTCCAAAATTTCTTTTAGCTTTTTTTTTAAATTGTAGTATATTATATTTAAGATCAATTAGTCCCTCTGTACTATTTAAAATTTTGGCGACTTGAAAACATTCTGTTTGTCTCCCATAATTGGTGCATATTTTAGGAGGTCATCTATGGGTGTGTCGAAGTCTGTAATGTTTACTGTCATCTGGCGAAATCATGAAAAAGGTTTTCATTGCGCATTTTTTGTAATAGCTTAAAATAATAGATTTGATGGACTTTGAGTAGGCCATGTTTATTGAATAATGGGCAAGTGGGGAGATCTTGGACGTTACCTTTATGGTTTTCAAAAAGTCTTGGAACCTTTTTCTGTAGGACGGCCAGTCTATTATAATTTGTGGTCAATGTTCCCCAAACTAAAATACAGTAATAAAGTTTAGAGAAAAATAGTGAGTAATACAACTTTTTTTTTAGCCAAAGGGGTATAAGATTTTGTATCTTGTATATACATCCAACGGCTCTAGATACCACCCTGCGCCAATTCACTTCCCTGTGCCAGCCCTCTCCAAAACGCTAATTTCAACTTTTTTTTTTTTTTTGTGTTTTCTCTAAATTTAGCGGAAAACGGTTGGCCTAGGGCCACCATGAGGTGTGTACTCTTGCTTAGGTGTCACTGCGGGTGACTCGTACCAACTCGAATGGGGCTCCGAACCATGTCTAACCTCAGGGCGAGGCGTCGATTTTAGTTCATCGAGAGTGCGATGTCGTTTTTTACTACAAAGAGTTTATATACGAACACATCGGTTTAATTTCGGGCATAGTTGGTTGGCGCGGTTGGAGCGCGCATGCAGTTGCCCGTGGTCCCGATTTGCCGTGATCGTGGGAGTTGGTGCTTCGGCACCGGTGGGCTACCTTGGCCATTAGCATGAGCAGAAGTAAGTGGTCTTTACTAGCTTTACCTGTTATTTGGTAGCCTACCATATTTGGACGCTTAGCCGTGAAGAATCGCGAGCACAGGCACATGCGTTCTCGAGCTCAATTTGTCTTGTCAAAACGAAACCAAAACCATCATTGTGTGCGCGAATGTGCACGCTCTCGTGTGTTGTCTCCCGCCGTCAGACCACTGGCGAAAACAATACCCGCGATCTTAAGCAAGTTGGTTAATTGGCAGTGCTACACACTTTTTTGTTTCTTTCCTTTAGCGTGGAGGAGTGGGGGTGACATCAGATATGCCGTACAACACTCCCGCGCTGCCGATTCCTGTCAAGAACGCACCTTAACTTGCTATAGCCACTCTACTCGTATAAGTTTCTGGTTGGGGGGGGGGGGGTAGGGTAGGGTAGGGTAGGGCAGGGCAGGGCAGGGCAGGGCAGGGTAGGGTAGGGTAGGGTAGGGTAGGGTAGGGTAGGGTAGGGTAGGGTAGGGAAGGGAAGGGAAGGGAGAAGTTGGTGGGCTTTTTGTCACGTAAGAAGGCAGCCTGCCCCGCAGGGATCAGCGCCTGATCAGCTTCATCTCATTTTCAGTCTCGTTCAAACTGTCTTCTCTTAAAGCGCTTCTACTGAGTGCACAAGAACTCATAAGCAAGGGTGAGGCAGTTAAGGACTTGGACAAGGTGGGGAGTGGACACCTGCTAAGAGATGTGAACTCTAAACTGCCCAAAGTACTCGAGCGCATATAAGAAATTGACTCTGCTCTTCAAACTGTGAAAAAAAAAGGTGAACTTCAGTTGTATCTAAATTACACAGATTCAGCTTAGTCACAACCCTTTTTTTTTAACATGGAGCCTGTGGGCTCTTCTAGTCAGTGTTTATGCTGCATATGTTAGTGGCTGTGATATTTTTAAGACAATATATTTTTCCATCCAAAGTAATGAGATATAGCTTTGTATGTTAACTTGGGTGTAGGGATTACTCTATTTTATGAACAGGGATTAAGAACATTTGTATTTAATGAAAACAGGTCAGCAGGGACTGCTTTATTCTGAAACATGTTGTGGTACCTTAAATTTTTTTATGGAGACACGCAATGCACAGCATTTTATGGAGTACATAAGGTTGCGTTGCTCTTCTAGTCGATGCTTAAAGCTGCATATGTACGAGTGACTGTGGTAGTCTAAAGATATAAAATACACATTTTATTTTGCATCTGAATTTTTGTCAAATGTCAGTAGCCTTGTATTTTGTTACTAAACTTGATATAGGGCTTTTTAAGTAGTGATTGAACATGTGTATTCTTTATTAAAAAAAACTGTAGTCAGCGAAGGTAGTTTATCTGACACCTTGCAGTGGTTTAGTTTTCTGGATACATGTTTACAATTGGTCTATTAAGTAGACGGTTTTGTACTGGCGTGGCTCAAGTTAGGCTTTTATTGTCGGGGCCTCCCATATAAAGTCTATCATGACTCTGCCTGCTGCCGGAATGGTTCTCAAAGCCTTTCCTTTGCATAAATTGCCAATATTCCATATTTCAATGCTATAGAAATAGAAAAATGTGTATGGATGTTGCTTGAAAATTATTCTGGGATGTGCATGCATATATTTTTGCTACATTTTCACATTTAGAAACAACAAATCACTTTTAGACATTTGTTTGACCTCCGTGACCTGCTCCAAAACCTACTTCTACGGCTACAAAACTTACTTTTGCTGCTCCCGAGCTGCTCTAAAGCGAGCGTTTTACTGCTCCAAAACTGCTCCAAAGTGGGACTTTTGCTGCTCCCAGCCCTGGTACAAAAGGCTCTAGCCCGCTTCCACCCCTGTACCTTTCTTTTCTTCTCTTGTCGTTTGCACTAATTTTATCTGATCATGTGTAACCAACTAGCCCAACAGATGATATTGATGGATAGCAAGCTTGATTTGCGAAGTATTTAAAGTTTCGAATATTTACACACCCATACTTCTAAAGCGATAGTTTTAAGGAGCTTATGTCGCAAAAAAGCCGGCGGGACGAGAAAATCCTGATTGGTTGAAGGGGCCTTACCTCACAGCCACATGGCCTCGAGCGGTAATTTCAAACAACGCTCACGTGAAACGTGACATTACGCGTGGAATGAAAGCGATGAAGACATGATATGTATTGCGAATTAAAGGTCGCTGCATGTCTCAAATGATTTCACTTTATGATCTAATATTTTTGCCTTAAAGAAAATCTTTGAAGAATTTTAGGGGGAGACGGGATTCGAACCCACGACCCTTGGAAACAAGCGAGGGTTTATATGTTTAGCTATTGCATTCCACTCTTAACGGTGCAGCTTAAGCGTCGTCCCGTGTTTCTAACGCAGAGTATATTCTACGAATAATTTTCTACGAGAGAATTGGCTCGAACAAGCGTCATGAACGAAAGGTAGACGTGGACAAGCGTCAGAAATGAGTGTCATGAACGAGCGACATGCCGGGATCATTACAAGACGTCGAGATAATATACACCGTGGCTGTGCGAATATTCGAGACTTGGAATACGAATAGAATAGCTGCGTTCAATTTCCCTGCTCCCCCTGCACCAGTGCAGAAAAGTGTAGGACGGTGTACTTTCAATCGTATCTGAATACACATACTGGAAGTAGACTGCCCTGCACTTTTCTGCATCGGTGCAGGAGGAGCGAGGAATTTGAAAGCAGCTAATATTTTTCTGATTCGACTCGCGAATTGCATATTCGGAAATCTCAGAATATTCGGGCAAATAACGAGCAATCCGTGCACGGGACATGCCGTGAACATTCAGAGCTTCCTCGAAAGCCGTGTTTAGTTGCCTAAAACTGCGGGTATTGTAGCCGTAT